ATATGAATTTATTTACAAATGACTATATTTATATTTAACATCATATTTTAGATTGATGTTAATTTGAAAGAACTTTACCATCATATTAAATAATAATTAATTAATTTTCATAGTCTGAGAATGATTTTTTGAAAAATTGAAAGTTAAGAAATAACAATTTTTACAAAATGGTATAATCATGTTTTAGAGGATAATTGCTAAATTAAGATTTTATAAAATATTTTAGCAATATTATGAGTAATGGTGAATAGCTCTCAAATAGCTCCCAAATGTTTTGGTGATTGTTAGTTTGACATTACTAGATTTTTATAATTAACGTTTAATAACGAATTTTAAGATATATATATATATATATATGTACACGTTTATTTGATAGTTCAAACCAAATAAAACCTCTTTCCGAATTAAAATTAATTTCTCTTATTTTTCAAAAAAAATTTAGAAATTATTTTTTTATAAGTTATAATAAATTTTAATTTTAATTTAATTTTAAATAAAGATAACCCGTCCATCGGACGGGTACTATACTAGTAAATATATAAATTGATCAGCTCTAACAACTCAAATTTCAGGAAGAAGATGTGTGTGAAAGAACAGAAAATACAAGAGATTCCTTTTTATTCATAGATAGTTTGTATGTATATAATAGCATAATAATAATAATAATAATGTCACACATGAGAAACCTAACAACAAACCTGCCCCAACTATTGTATTTTAAAGCTAAAGTCAACAATTTCATTCTCTTTTCTTATTATTTTTCCTTACCTTTCAAATTCAACTTATATTCAAAAATAATAGTAATAATTACTAGAAAGTAGAAATTGTATATTTTTTCTTTCTATAATATCTTTACATGTTAGGCACATATCCCCAAAACTAGGTCAGACTTTTCAACTGCAGACAGATACAGTTATATGTCTGTGTGTAATGTATACGTGTATAAAAGATAGCTTATGCTTTTTGTTTATTGTGTTTTTTACAAGTTACAAAAATACTACAATAGAGGTCCACGGTCTAACTTAGGGGTAATTAGGAAGCCAAGTAATTTAGTTTATGAATGTGGTGGGTTTAATCTATTTTCATTCATTCAAGTGAAGCTTTTTTATGGATATGACAACGTAAACAATTAGGCACCAATTACGGCGTTCAGTTTTGTACCTAAACTAAACTATAAATGGTTTTTTTATTCACATTTACTTAGTATGTATACATTTATGTGGTTAGGTACAAACACCATTATGGTATTATTCTATGTATTAGAAGATTGAATATATATATTTGTGTTCTAGAGACTAGTATTATACTACTACTACTTATGGAATCCGATAATAATAGTCGTGATTTGTTTTATTCTCCGATTATGAAATTGAAAGCATAGGTAGTATACGATTTGATGTTTTTGGTCAAATGAGAGAATAGTTTACTTCACTTTTGTGTTCAACCAAAATTATTCGCTCCTTTTATTTCGACAAAAAGATTACTATAGAGATTGTAATCTTGAAAACGTTTTTCATCATATATAGTTTGTTTTGACCAAAAAGGCGTTAAAAACATGGAAACTATGATTTAACTTTTATTTCATTGATCAAAAAATCATTATACACATAAGCCATCTATATATATATATATATATATATGTAGTCTTTTGATTCATTTTAAATAATTCATAAGTAATTGTTTATTATCATATGCTGACTACGTGCAACTGTTCATGCATGTATGTAATTTGTGGTAATTGATATAAACTTTTTTTTGGTAACAATGTGAAGTTAATTGATATAAACTTATTTAGACATTAGTCCTAAATCTATTAGGTGTGACACGGTCACACAGAACACAAAAACAAAAAATGATTATGTAGGAACGTAAAGAGAGAATGAGTTGAACCCGTCACCTACCTAAACAAATGGACTGTGTGGGTGAAATCACTAACGCTAGACCATGATAAATATTTTTAGCGAATTAAACGAATTATATATATACACATATATATACATATATATATATATATATATATATATATACACACTTTGTTCATGTTTTGCCATATTTTTCATAGTAAGCATTTAAACTTTGACCACATTTCAAAGTTGATGTATGTCCCCTTCTAATTTGTCATGTCGGTTAGGCATTACATGTCTCCCTTTTTCTCCTCATATATATGTTCTCATCAATCTTTACAAACTCATGAAAACGATTTGCTTGCTACATCGGAGAAAAAAAGAAAGAAAGAAAGAAAAAACGAAATCTAGCATACATAACAATTTCCCCACAATTATCGCAATATGATTATTATTTCTGACTGTACATATAAAGAGTGTCATCAAAATTAACATAATGTTTACCAACATATTTCGTAAATTTAAACACTATTAGGTTTGACCATCTTTTTCTTGATTAATACATTACTGTTATACGTATAGATGCTCTTTTACTTGCCAAGAGAAAGATCTAATGTGAAAACAAATCATTATACATAAGCCGTAAGCGTAACGATGATCTCATTTACCCGTCAGCATAAGTAAACCATCCACTCCACATAGCTAAGCTACGTCACTTAAAGTCTCATATCATGCCAGTAACTTCATAAAACTATATAATTTATTATAAAAAAACCAATACCAAGAGAAATAATATACATCTAGTAATTTTTATTATATAATACACAAAAAATATGTAGGGTCTAAATTATTGCCTCTTGACTAGGAATTGTATATTGATTCCTTCAACTATGAATAATTATTATTAAGGTTCGTGAAACAGTAAGTGAAAGAAGAAAGAAAGAAAGAAAGAAGAAGAAGAGAAAGACAGAAGACAGTCTCTAGCACGTGCCAAGTCATGTGTCGGCGACGGTCAAAAGCCGGTGCCATTATTTCCACGTGGCAGCCTAATACTCCCAAATTTTCATTTTAGTTATTTTTCATAACTTTAATTTATTTTGGTTCGTTTTGAAACTTTGACTGCCAACGCCAACGCAACCGGAAGGTGACGGACTGTGTCCGGTTACCGGTGACCCCGTAGTCTTCTCGCTGACTAAGACTCCTTCAATTACGACGCCTTTTCTCTACGCGCCGCTTTGGTCGTAGCGCGTGTTCTTTATTCCGTCCACTGTGTCACGTGTAGAGTTGCGAAAACAATATCGAAAAGTGAGTGAGGAAACTTTTCATGTCTTTGCTTTTTGGCCCCATTAAAAAGGTAGTAAACAAATAGAACCCCAAAATTTACGCATCTTTTATTGAATTTTTTAAAGACTTATTTAGTAGGACTTGCAATTAAGATAAATTACGAAAGAAAGCATTATTTATATATGTAATTTAAAATTTACAGAAGCTAATTAAGTATGTTTCCTCACTAGAAGCCAGTTTTGCAGCTCTCTATTTTTGTCAACTTAGCTTTATGTAAAGTTCTTATTCTTATTGCCAGAAACCAAAAAAAAAAGTCATTCAAAAAGCATAACATGATATCACAATAATTAAAATTAATATCCAGTTCTATATCTTATTTGTTGAATAAATTATATATACAAGTGCCTATTTGAAAATCTAAAAATATAACTATAATGAAATCTTGTAACATATATGTGTATATAGTTTGAATAAGAGTTTAATATATGAAAAATAAAACTATTACTAAAAACACGAGTATATGATGGATTCACACACGTACTATTGAATGATATATAAGCTTTTACTAAAAAAATTAGCATATTTCCAAACCAACTAGCCAAAAAAAAAAATCAAATTATTCTTCTCTCTCCACCTTTTTTGAGTTTCAAAATGCATAAATACGAGAAAGAGAGACGAAGACTCAATTTAAAGTCCAAGCACCAATCTAGTCCTCTTCGGAAAAAAACCTAAAAACCTAATCCCCAAACCTACCTAAAAAGGCTTTATCTCCTCTCTTCTTCTTTGTCTTCTTTGCTCTCTCTTTATTTTATTTTCTCTCTTCATTCTTCTTCTTCTTCACAATGTCTAATGAAACCAGAGATCTCTACAACTACCAATACCCTCCGTCGTTTTCTTTGCACGAAATGATGAATCTGCCTACTTCAAATCTACCTTCTTATGGAAACATCATCTCATCGCAAAACAACGGCTTCGATCCATCTTCTAACTACTCTTTCACCGATTGCCTCCAAAGTTCTCCAGCAGCGTATGAATCTATACTTCAGAAAACTTTTGGTCTTTCTCCTTCTTCCTCTGAGGTTTTCAACTCTTCCATCGATCAAGAATCCAACCGAGATGTTACTAATGACGTAATCAATGGTAGTGGTGCATGCAACGAGACTACAACTAGGGTATCTGCATCTTCTTCCTCTAGTGAGGCTGATCATCCCGGCGAAGATTCCGGTAAGAGCAATAGAAAACGAGAGTTAGTCGGTGAAGAAGATCAAAGTTCCAAAAAAGTGTAAGTCATAACCACATATATATTAGATATTTTGATGATAAAATATGGAATAACACTTTTTGTTGAAATAATATATATAGGATATGGAGTTTATTCTAGCATGTTTACTAATTTTATGGTGTATATGATTTGCAGTGGGAAAACAAAAAAGAACGAGTTGAAGAAACAAAGAGAGCCACGAGTCTCGTTTATGACTAAAAGTGAAGTTGATCATCTTGAAGATGGTTATAGATGGAGAAAATACGGCCAAAAGGCTGTTAAAAATAGTCCATATCCAAGGTAACAAGTTTATTTTCCTTTTTTTTTTTTTGCATTTGCGTTGCTAGTCTTGTTAAATTAGTTTGACCGTGAAAGTAGTGTTATAAAAATGCGGACCATTATAGTGAAACTGATACTAATAGCCAATGCAATCTCGAAAATATATATAGGAGTTACTATAGATGTACAACGCAAAGGTGCAACGTGAAGAAACGAGTGGAGAGATCTTTCCAAGATCCAACCGTTGTTATTACAACTTACGAGGGTCAACACAACCACCCGATTCCCACTAATCTCCGGGGAAGTTCTGCCGCGGCTGCTATGTTCTCGGCAGACCTCATGACTCCGAGAAGTTTTGCACATGATATGTTTCGGACGGCCGCTTATGCTAGCGGCGGTCCTGCGGGGGCGGCCTTGGATTATGGATATGGACAAAATGGTTATGGTAATGTGAATGCAAACCCTAGTTCACATCAAGATCAGTATCACCATGGAGGTGATCAATATGAGCTGTTAAGGGAGATTTTTCCTTCAATGTTCTTCAAGCAAGAGCCTTGATGGATCATTTTTAAAACTACATATATACACTTATATACTACTTATATATATTGGGAAAGAGAGCGAGATCGGAGAGAGATAACAAAACTTATATGGAACTTAAGATCTTATTTTGTCTCTCTTATTTGCATGTGTACATATCTTTTCATGAGAGAATGAGACATAAACTTGGGATTGGATTTTCATGTATCAACCATATCTTTCATGTATTTGATGATGTTGGATACATTTTTTTTCGCTTGGACTTTGTAATTATATATTCCCATTTTGGGTAGTACTATTTACGTTATGATGATATTATATATGTTGTGTAATGTGTACTATCATATGTAGAAGGGACAAAGACATAACTCTAGCTAGGAGCCTAGGATATTTCTCCCAAATGGTGATTATATACATGTTCTTTTTGGGAAACTTGATAATAAAATTACTAGCTAGTTCAAATGGTAACCTTATTATTCAAAATTATGATTGATCATTGTAGACATCTCTTGATTGTCAAAGAGGAGATAATTAACAAAATTTTAATATAAAGGGTGTGCGATATAAAAGATTTTAAGTTGTGGACGACGAATATCTATGTGTGTGAACAAGTGAAGAAAATGAAAACAAAACAAGTTGAGTTCTACCTCAGCTTGTGTCCTTATAAGAGAATGGACCCAAATACAGATTTGACTACCTTTCTGCTTTCTATCTTATCCACACATGTACACATGGAAACATAGGCTGTGGACCTGTATAATATCACCCCCTACCATCAAAAATGAAAACAATGTTTGATAACAGAGAAATCAAATATAAGAATAATAAAAATAAATCTTCTGATACTAAAATATATCAAATCTCAAATATATAAAGAATTAATGAACGAAAAAAGAAGAAAAATAATGAAAGATAGAGAAGGATGCGAATAAAAACCTAGAGGAAAATATCTCTTTATCAACTTGTAAATGTGTTTGCACAAATGAAAATATAGACAACACAGAGTAATTATATCCAATAATATATGGCAAATTCTTACTAAAAGCGAAATGTTAATAGTGAAATCTTTATAAATGTATGTTATATTGTTATGACAAAGACAATACAAAATTTCTGAAAAAATGTAATAGTATCATTTGGAAGAGCGCATTGATGTCATATACCAAAGTCACTGAACTTAGCTGAAAACATGAGAGATGAAAATGATTCATGAGAGAGCATCATAGATCTCATGTGGCATTCTGAATTCCCAACATGCATGCCCGCTCCAATGTAATTACTAATTAATTACTCCAATATTCCTATCTGAAAAAACTATATATTAAACTTTTGAAATTCAACTGATATGTCCAATCTTGAATCTATTCATGATCAATTATATATCATATACTCAATTTGTATTAAATCACTTCAAATACAGTAGTTTTTTTTTGCTCTTGTTTTTGGTAGACGATTCTTGAAGTGTTGTGACACATTCACAATTATCTATCTCTCGCAAAATTTGCATTGGAGAATTATTTGAAAGTAAACTCTATCAATGAAGAATTTTGAGAAACATAATAAATAGGATATACATAAATATTTTATATGTTCTAGATATTGACTAGATTTGTACATGTTTTGACTGAAAATGATTTGGCCTACACATATGTGATCAAACCAAAGTCCAATCATAAATGGAATCATCCATTTGACACAAATCTGAATTAGATGAAACATTTTGTTTAGTAGTTTACTATGCAGAAAATATATATATATATATATATTAATTTGCTGATAAAAAATCAAATCTCGATGATAATGATCTTTTATTTGTTTTCAGGGTCGTTATCAAAATCACCTAACAAAAAAAAAAAAAAGCCAGAAATGTTAGAAAGAGAAGCAAAGTTATAAAAGATCTTCCGGGAGAATCAAGTAATTGCCAAACCCCCTAGTCCCCCTAGACAACTACAATGATATGAACAAACATATTATATATATAATATCCCAAAAAAATACATACAAAACTCTAGAAAGCTCCATTTTCTAAATTGAAAAAAAAAATCTTATTCATTATGTCCATTGCCATAGTTATACTATCATCAAAATGAAAAATTCATGTATATTGTAAAAAAAAAAAAATGTTATTAGTTGCCAAAAGGTTCATGCAAAATGTTACACGTGAAGACATTAGCTCATTGGGTCAGGCAAAATACTACATTCGAATCCAAATATGGCAATAACAATTAGAGCTAGCTAGCCCTTTGTATGTATCAAACCAGTATGAATGCTAAGCTAAGAGGTAAAAAAATTGGTAACACATACACTATTGTATAGTTTATACTTTATAACAAATCAACAAACTATTATGCTTTATATTATATGATATCATTGGTCTTATTTTTTTACCACCTTCTTCTTTTTTGACTTACGTTCATATTATATAGTGTTGGAATGACCAATCTTCTCAATCAATAATTGGAGTTTACTGGTATATATGCATTTACTAATTTACTATCCTCCTCCCCATACATCTTTGCTTCTTTGATACGTCTCTTCTTATTTAAATGATATTATACAATATTCAATAATCCAACTTTTAGGCTTGTCGATTTAATTAAGTGTCAACCTTTATCTTGTTTTTTTTCTTTTTTTCGTAATGACATTTCGTAAGATTCTCCAAAAAAAAATGTATTACATGGGCCTGAAAGTATTGAAATCCAAATTGAGCCCAAAGTTGTGATCCAATGAAACCATAAAGCTCAAGCTCGTACACAAGCTCAGGTGGGAAAAAAGAGAGATCGTGGGGGGCAAAATGAAACGGTTAACGAACTGTAATTTTTTTTCTTTTTGTCCAATGAAAATTTACAGTTTTGTAAAGAATAAGTGAACTATAGAAAACACACTCTGAAAGCAGTTTTCAATCTTAGGAGCAGTGATCGAGATGGAGAGTTTTCGTAACCTGAAAATATTCTTCTTCTTCTTCTTCATCTCCACGTTATCTTCTTCTGGAGCAGGTAACTTGACTGAGCAAAACAGAGTAGACAAAAGCTCTGTTCTCCTTGTTAATGTCCGTAGCTTCGGTGCTCGAGCTAATGACCATAAAGACCACACCAAGGTCTACTACAGATCTGTGTTTTTTTTGTTAGCTTTTGGTGTAGATTTGTCCATTTAGTTACAAGAATTTAGCTAATTAATTGATGCTTTTTAAAGGCCTTCGTAGCAGCATGGGACAAGGCATGTAAATCATATTCAAGCTCTGTACATCTTATAATCCCAAGAGGTGAATTCTCTGTTGGTCCTCTCAGATTCTCTGGTCCTTGCACTAACGTATCAAGTCTCACTGTCCTAGTCAAGGTAAGGTAGTTTCAACACTCTCCAAAATCTGTCTTTGTTTTGTGTTTGGTTTAAAGATTTCTTTCTCTTCACGTAACCTAAATTAGGGTCATATCAAGGCATCAACTGATCTGTCAAAGTATAGATCAGGCGGTGGTTGGATTCAGTTTGGATGGATCAATGGCTTAACTCTTACCGGAGGTGGAACATTTGACGGTCAAGGCGCTTTAGCTTGGCCTTTTAATAACTGTACTTCTGATTCTAACTGCAAACTCCTCCCAACTGTGAGAAAACTCTATAAACATTGAATTTTGATCTTAAAGTTTTATCCTTTTTCAATAAAAACCATGCTGTTGGTTTCAGAGCTTGAAGTTTGTGGGGATGAACAGAACAGTTGTAAGAAGGATAAGCTCAGTGAACAGCAAGTTCTTTCACATAGCGTTAGTAGAGTGCAGAGACTTCAAAGGCACAAGACTCAACATCACTGCTCCTTCTGATAGTCCAAATACAGATGGTATCCATATCGAACGCAGCTCGAATGTGTATTTCTCGCGTTCTCATATCGCAACTGGAGATGATTGTGTTTCCATAGGACAAGGAAATTCTCAGATCACAATCACAAGTATCAAATGTGGACCAGGACATGGTATCAGGTAAAATGTAACACAAAACTGCTTTATTTTTTTTTATGTAACTGTTTCTGCTGTTGAGTTTATTAAACGGTTTGTTTTCTTGCGTTTAAAGTGTTGGGAGTTTAGGGAGATATCCAAATGAGAAAGATGTGACAGGGCTGGTGGTGAAGGATTGCAAGATGAGTGGTACAACGAATGGGATAAGGATCAAAACTTGGGCTAATTCTCCTGGTCTAAGTGCTGCTACCAACATGACTTTTCAGAACATCATTATGAACAATGTGACTAATCCAATCATCATTGATCAGTCTTATTGTCCTTTCTCTTCTTGCATTTCCAATGTGAGTCTTCTTTAACACTCAAATCTCTAGCTAGCTAATTTTAGCTAACACTAAAATATTACATCTTTTAGATACCATTTTGGTATGATATGAGTGACACATAACTTCAAGAACAAAACCGGGTTGATCTATGAGTAACAAAGAAGGAAAATAAGAATGTTTTTTTTTTTACTGAAATGATTTGTTTTGATTGGTTTTGTTGTTGTAGGTACCTTCGAAGGTGAAGCTGAGTGAGATATACTTCAAGAATATAAGAGGGACATCATCTTCACGGATCGCAGTGCAGCTGCATTGTAGCAGAGGAATGCCATGTAAAAAAATATACTTAGAGAATGTTCATCTTGATCTTTCTTCTTCTGATGGAGGAACAAAACAGAGCAGAAACAGAGGAGATGAAGCCGTCTCTTCTTCTTGTAGAAACGTTAGAGCTAATTACATTGGGACTCAAATCCCACCTCCATGTCACTAATCACCCTCATCATCACTATGATCAATTCATCATTTTGAAGTTTCTCTAGTAATCAACTTTTGTGCTTTCTTTTGGGACACGTTTTCTTCATATAAAGTTTGAAATTTTTTTGTCTATACATAAATTGCTATTACCCTAAGGAAAAATCTTGGCTAAATAATAATAGAAATATGAATGAGAAAATAGTGGTTGGTAATAAAATATGGTTCGTTTAAAGAGTGGATCCTACAAAAATGGAGGAAATGGTTCATTCCAAGAGTGCCATTTAACAGTTTCCGGGTAATGGCTAGTAGCAGAAATTATAACAAATATAGCACTTGCTAATTTTCAAAGTCAAAAATATTAATGTAAATTAAATACCAAGTTTGTTTATATAACAATATAATTTATGCATTCACCTTTGCCTGTTTTATAAGTAAGCAACACCATCTTTATTTCCCTGAGATATTGCTCCTTCCGGTTTCTATGATGGAAGTAGAATCAGAAACTCAAGAACTCCATCTTCGTGTTAATGGCGGTAAGTATTCTAACAGAAGTTTTGGCTTAGAGGTTCTTGTGTTCTTGTCTTACTTATGTTCTTGTTCTGTTTCATGTTTTGATGATAGAACCTGAAGGGAAGTTTTCAACAGTAGAGAGAAGTCACAACTACTCATGGAGGTTAAGAGTGTCTGTCTACATCACTCTCCTCTTAGCTGGAGAGACAACAGCCACTCTCTTAGGGAGACTTTACTACGACAAAGGCGGTAAAAGCACATGGCTCGAGACCTTGGTTCAGCTTGTTGGGTTTCCTCTAACCCTTCCTTGCTATTGTTACATAAAGCCTGAGCCGTCCAATACCAAAACCATGACCAAAAAAGCCTGTTCATCTTTCTTGAAACTATCTTTAGTGTATATTGGACTTGGCTTGCTTGTTGCTGGACACTGTCTTATGTACTCCTTTGGATTACTCTACCTTCCTGTCTCAACTTTCTCTTTGATCTCTGCGTCGCAATTGGCTTTTAATGCCATCTTCTCTTACTTCCTAAACTCACAAAAAATTACACCTTTCATAATCAATTCACTTGTTCTCTTAACCATATCTTCTACACTTCTAGTTATCCAACATGAGCCTGAATCTTCAAATTCTTCTTCCTCTAAGTCCAATTATGTGATTGGATACATATGCGCTATCGGTAGCTCAGCTGGCTATTCTCTGGTGCTTTCTTTAACAGATTACACGTTCGAAAAGATCCTAAGGAAGTACACTTTCAAGGTCATTTTAGATATGGCCACATATCCGTATTTAGTAGCTACTTGTGCAGTTGTGGTTGGACTTTTTGGAAGTGGTGGGTGGAAAACGTTGAGGATGGAAATGGATGAGTTTGAACTTGGGAAAGGCTCCTACATTTTGATAGCTATCGGTTCAACGATATCATGGCAAGCTTGTTCGATTGGTAGTGTTGGTTTGATTCTTGAAGTCTCATCTCTTTTCTCTAATGTCATAAGCACTCTTTGTTTACCCGTTGTTCCTGTTCTCGCTGTTGTGTTCTTCCACGATGAGATGAGCGGAATCAAGTTAATCGCAATGCTTTTGGCCATTTGGGGATTTGTTTCGTATGGTTACCAACATTATGTTGATGAACAAAAACCAGAAGAAGAACAAGAAGAGCTTCTTCAACTTGAAGAAGAAGAAGTAACACAAGACGGTAAGAGTCACGTCCAAGCTTAGACAAAGACCCACGAACCAAATGTTGTAAAGTCGAACCAATATTAATATAAAGTTCAAAGTTATATAAATGGTAGACACTAGAATAAAAGTGGGAATTTAGTGTCTTCAAGGCCTCTCTGTCTTTCTTGTACTTTTATTTACTTATGAATACAGTTCAAGACTCAATTTGAAGCTGTCGAGACTAAATTGTCTATATAGAATTAAGACATTTCACCAGTTTTTGTCACCATTTGAAGTTTCTATTTAATCTCTTGCGACTTTTCGAAACTCCAATTATTTTTTTTTGTAGTTTTAAGTTTCAACACACTTACATTACCTAGATATGTGCAAGCATTTATATATTTTTTGGAGGCAAAGTTTGTTTTAATTATGTAGAGATTCAAAGACTTCCCCATAACATCAATCTTTTTTTTTTCTTTAATTGGTAACTTTATTTTCAAAACTGACAATATTTATTTTGCCTAGATTTTATATTAAAATATATTTATATATAATAAAAGATTTTTGGTTGGATTTCTTTCTTCTAAATTATTAATTTTCCACTTGACTTTTGCTTATAGAATTAATAGGAAATAGTACATATATCATTTGATTTTTTTAATTATTTTATGTGGTTTTATGTAAGTATTTATGTATAATACAATAATATATTTGGTAAATTTTTTAGTTGATTTCATTTTGTGATAATATATATATATTTTTTTAGTAAAAGATCTTAATTAGATGGGTATAGTTAATTTTATTTGGTTAAAAACCTTAAAAGAGAGTTTGTTTACCTTTTTCTCTGTAACTTCCCTTGACCCTTGGCACTTTCCATTATAAAATAGAGATACTTTATGTAACGCTTTGATATGTAACGCTTTGACCAGAAGAAAAAAATAGAAGATACTTTTATGTAACGCATTCGCATGTGTTAGTGAGCAAGCAGGCATCATCTCTACTTGTTCCCTGAGGTATTGCTCCCCTCTAGTTTCTATGATGGAACCAGCAGAATCAGAAACTCAAGAACTCTGTCTCAAAGTCGATGGTGGTAAGTAGTTCAAACTCCATAACAAGATTCAATCATTCCAGCAATCGATAGATACTTTTATATACTCATGTTCAGATGTTCTTGTTCTGTTTCATATGTGTTGATGATAGAACATGCAAGGAAATACTCAACGGAACAAAGAAGCCACAGCTTCTCATGGAGGCTAAAAGTGTCTCTCTATGTTTTTCTCCTCTTAGCTGGAGAGACAATGGCCACTCTCTTAGGTAGATTATACTATGAAAAAGGAGGTAAAAGTACATGGCTCGAGACCTTGGTTCAACTTGTTGGGTTTCCTTTAACTTTGCCTTGTTATTATTACATAAAACCTGAGCCTTCCAAGACTAAATCCATCACCAAAGAAACTACTCCCTTCTTGACACTATCTTTAGTGTATACTGGAATTGGCTTGGTTGTAGTTGGACAGAGTGTTTTATACTCTTTTGGATTACTCTATCTTCCTGTCTCAACTTTCTCCTTGATATCTGCTTCACAATTGGCTTTTAACGCCGTCTTCTCCTACTTCTTAAACTCACAAAAGTTCACACCGTTTGTACTCAATTCACTTGTTCTCTTGACCTTATCTTCAACACTTCTTGTCATCCAACCTGATCCTGAATCTTCTTCCAAGTCCTCGGCCAAATACAATTATGTTATTGGATACATTTGCGCCTTTGGTAGCTCAGCTGGGTATTCTCTGACGCTTTCGTTAATAGATTATGCTTTCGAAAAGGTGTTAAGGAAACACACTTTCAAAGAGATTTTAGATATGGACACTTACCCATCTTTTGTAGCTACCTGTGTTGTTGTGGTTGGACTTTTTGGAAGTGGTGGCTGGAAAATGTTGAAGACAGATATGGAAGAGTTTAAACTTGGGAAACTGTCTTACATTTTGATAAATATCGGTTCGACGATATCATGGCAAGCTTTTTCCATTGGTAGTTTGGGTTTGATCCTTGAAGTCTCATCGCTTTTCTCAAATGTTATAAGCACTGTTGGTTTACCTATTGTTCCTTTTCTCGGTGTTGTGTTCTTTCACGATGAGATGAGTGGAGTCAAGTTGATTGCATTGTTGTTGGCAATATGGGGATTTGTTTCTTATGCTTATCAACACTATGTTGATGAGCAAAAACCAGTCGACACAAATCAGGAGAAAGAAGAAGAAGAGATGAAGCTTTATCAACCTGAAGAAGATGCACAAGAAGATAACAGTCATATCCAAGCTTAGTTAAAGATCCAAGAACCAAAACTCTTGTAATTTTGCAGTTATTTAATTTAAAGTTAAGCAGTTACATATACAGTAGACCAGACACCACAAGAAAGTTAGAAAATTTCTAGATGTCAAGTGTACTTGAGACCTCCTTGTCTTGTTGTTGTATTGTTCCTGACTTCTTAGTCTACAAAATAGACACAAACAAAGGTTTTTTTTCTTCTTTTCCTGTAGACACTCGGGACAATAATATTAGAATAAGAGAACGAAATAAAGCGTTTCTGTTTTCACCAAACTAGCATACTTTAACAACGGTCTACCTCTAATAAAATATGATTAGAGAAGTTTGATTAGAGAAGCCAATTAAAAGGTCGCAAGAATTCCAAGTCAACAGTAAACAAAAGCGTACCATTCTTCACTAAAAATCTGTCTGTGAGATGTCCTCTTAGTTCTGTCATGGAAAGAACTCAAGAACTCTATGTCAATGGTAAGCAAGAACTCTCGTAGTGTAGACCCCTTTGGAAATCATCTGAAAACATGCATAGTATCTGATTATTTTCCATGATATATGTTTTCCCACCTTTCATCGTGAATTCTCTATTTCTCCTTACTATTTCCTCTGCCCTCCTCGTGGTCAACAGTGATTCAGAAAACACAGCAAAAGTGTCTAGAGTAAAATATGTAATAGGGATCATATGTACCATTGGTGCTTCTGTTGGGATTGGACAGCTGCTATCTCTGGTACAACTGATCTTCAGGAAGGTTTTAAAGAAGCAAACATTCTCAACGGTCATGGACTTGGTCGCATACCAATCTCTAGTTGCAAGCTGTATGGTTCTCATAGGACTTTTTGCCAGCAGAGAGTGGAAAAATTTAACAAGTGAGATGGAACACTACAAACTGGGAAAGCGCCGTACGTTATGACTTTGGCCTCGACAGCTATATCCAGGCAAGTCTACACCACTGGTGTCGTGGGATTGATCTTCGAGTCGTCTTCTGTGTTCTCCAATTCCATAACTGCTGTGGAATTGCCTATAGTTCCCATGTAGCAGTGATTGTTTTTCATGATAAAATGAGCGTGTCAAAGATCTTCTCCATCATTTTAGCTATCTGGGGTTTCATTTCATTTGTCTATCAGCACTACCTCGACGAAAAAAAGTTGAAGACTAGGTACACAAGTCCTGTTGGAGGTCCTCACCTACCTGTTGAAGAAGATCACACAAACATGCAAAGTGTATGATCAGGCATATATTATATAAAGCTCATCTCTCTGTATTTAAGAAAGGATAAAAAAGAGGAACTCTGTTTGGCCAACTAGTCAGTGATAAGTAACTGATCATTTTGTACATAAGGTACTGATGTTTCCTACAGAGAAATATGTAATAACAGCAAGATGATTAAAGCAAACATTTTTAGCAGATAAAACCATGTTGTCACATTTTGTGAGTGTGACACTAGACTACCAGAGATAGCCATAACAAAAAGATGCAATGCTACACTCTGCTTTACAATTTTGCAATGCATCTGAAACACCGAGACATAAACAAGAAATGAAAGCAGAGAGACAGATAGGCTAATGCATCCCTGAGAAAACAGAGCTTTATATTAAAAGAAACAAGGGAACAGAAACAATATCGCTTAAACAATGTAGTGACTTGAACAATGTCAGTAACTCTTTTATTCCTTTGCTACAAAACTTCTTAAGATACCAAAAAAGTGTAATCCAGGAGTTTGGCTTCTTGTGTCTTGATTGATTTCTGATATAATGTCAATAGATACTGCATTTTTAAATAAGAAAAGTTTTTTTAGAGCCGCCATTCAGAGGTTTCAAGATTTCCAACTTATGTGCAAGCCAAATAAGAAAAGTCAATGGTCAACATGAGACTATTAAGTTATCATACTGCTGTCATCTACCGCCTGCCCCATCTATTTAATGGATTTTGTAAAAGTCTGTCAAGTTAATAGTGCAACAGTGCAACTTATCTGTATTTAGTTATTATCATAAACTTTCGATTTGTGTATAAAGAAACGTCTCTTGTGTACCTGTAAGACATTGCAAACGAAAATAAATCAATAAACACAATATTCTTTCTTTCAACTTTTCTTTCTCACCTCTTATTTCTCATGGGTAGATCTCAAGAACACTATGCTAAAGGTATGCAAAAAACACATGATAACGTTAGATCCTTAGATTCTTTTCTCATGGAAAGATAATAACCATGAGTGCTAATTTTTCAGGTGACAAGAATTTAGAAGCAAGTTTAATAGATCATGAGGTAACTGAATCATTATCGGTACCTCAAACAAAGAACTGTAAAAGGTGGCTCCGGGTCTCCATGTACGCACTCTTTGTCATCTTCTGTCAACCACTTGCTACAATTCTGGGTAGATTGTACTATGAAAATGGAGGGAAAAGCACATATGTGGTAACACTTCTTCAACTCATTGGCTTCCCTGTACTGGTTGTCTACCGTTTCATTTCACGAATCAGACAACCCATATCAACAGATACAAATATCAAGCAGTCCCTTGCCTTCAGCACCCGTGCATCGGTTTACATATGCACTGGACTGCTACTGTCTGCTTATGGTTATTTGTCTGCAGTTGGGTTGCTCTACTTACCAGTCTCTACGTTCTCCCTCATCATGGCCTCGCAGCTGGCCTTCACTGCCTTTTTCTCGTATATCCTTAACTCGCAAAAGTTCACTCCTTTCATAGTCAATTCTTTATTTCTGCTTACGGTTTCCTCTGCCCTCCTCGTGGTCAACACTGACTCGGAAAGCGCAACAAATGTCTCTAGAGCAAAATATGTGATCGGGTTCATATGTACCATTGGTGCTTCCGCTGGGATTGGATTGCTGCTATCTCTGATACAACTGCTCTTTAGGAAGGATTTCATGAAGCATACATCCTCAGCAGTCCTGGACTTGGCCAATTACCAATCTTTAGTTGCAAGTTGTGTGGTACTCATAGGACTTTTTGCAAGTGGAGACTGGAAAACTCTGCCAAGTGAGATGAGAAACTACAAACTTGGGCAAGTGTCATATATCTTGACTTTGGCGTCAGCAGCTATTTCCTGGCAAGTATACACTGTTGGTTGTGTGGGATTAATCTTCGAGTCATCTTCTGTGTTCTCCAATTCCATCACTGCTGTCGGATTGCCTATAGTTCCAGTTGTAGCAGTGATAGTTTTCCATGATCAGATGGATGCATCAAAGATGTTCTCCATTATTTTAGCTATCTGGGGATTCCTTTCATTTGTCTATCAGCACTACCTCGACGAAAAGAAGATGAAGACTTGCCACAAAAAACCTGTCGAGGAAGATACACAAACTTAATGAAACGTAGCTGCCTTGAAGCCAAGGTCACACAAACAAACATACAAAGTTGTGCACACAATCATGCATATATTCTATATATAAAGCTTGTCTGTGTAATTTCCATAATGGCCCCTGCAAATGGATGCATGTCTCTCTGTACAGCTTGAACATCTATATCAGTCATGTGCAAGTCTCTTAGGCCAAATATTCATTATTTAATAAGTAAATAAATTTTGTACAAAAAGGTGCCCAAATTCCAGATATTTAGAACATCTAGTCAAAAACGAATTGTCTAATACAAAAAGGGTGAACAAAGCACACGTTTATTTGTGATATTTTCACTTTGTGAGTGTGACTCCTGATAAATATTGACTAGTCAGCCATAACTTACAAAGATGTCAATGCACTCTTCTGCTTTCTAGTTTCAAAACGCACCTAAAATATTGTGAAACAAGAACAAACAGCAGGTCATGTATACTGAAAAAAAAGAACAAGATATATTTGACAGATAGGTCCAAACATCCTTGGGGAAACAAAGCTTTGAACAAAAAGTAAATGGGCCAAAAACAATACCATTTCATAAAGCTACTTGTCCAATTGCTGTTGGCTGGTTGCAAATGTCTTCTCTTGAAAAGATAGGCGAGACAAAATCTTCAATGTTTTAGCTGGCGAGACAAAATCTTCAATGTTTTAGCTAACGCCAGCATATTCTTGATGGCAAAAACATCAAAACTAGCCATGGAAACCCAAAGTGCGTTCATAATCCAAATAAATTCAAAAAGAGGAAGAAGTTTTACAATTGTCATGCTGAAGATCACACAATACTACAACTTGTGCACATGTTCGTACATGTCATACATGCGTATGCATATGAAGTTTTCTATTTGTCTATGCGTATAAGGTTCATGTTTCTCCACATAGTTACAGAAGAAATGATGAGTAAATATTGGCTAGAAATAATGTCCTCCTTCATTTAACACATCCCTTGGTCAACAATAGTGGCATCTTTGCATGTAGGAAGACTACACAAACTAAATTCATGGAAAAGAGAAGAGATATGGTTGTCATTTACTGTATGTGGGGCCAAGAACAATGAAAACTTAGACGGTGACAGAATCCTAATCACTGAATAAATAGCTATAGCATATCATCACACCCATATCAAAGTAGCCATCATTTGGTAGCATTAGCAACTCAGAAAATTGATCATAAGATACCTCATACTTAGAATCTGTTCAGAACATCATTCGTTCCTCCTTGTCCATCTCCAAGGAGGTTATTCAACATCCATCATGATGGCGGATCAAGAACTACAAGTCATCGGTGAGTAAACCAGTTCGTTGTGAACGTACTAGTCTTTCATCTTCAAAAAAGGAAAAAAAAAATGGTTATGATTCTTAATTATTCAATATACAAAACGATTGACAACAAAATAAACTATAAACTAATTTTGTGTTATTTTTCATCACTTACCAGTTCAGCAGGGAAAAGAACCAAATCCAACAGTTCAAGATGAAAGAAATTCGGTCAGTAGCAGCCAAACAGAAGAATCTCACTCAAACAATTACAAACGGTGGTTCCGGGTGACTATCTATACATTTTTTGTTATTTCAGGCCAATCAGTTGCTACAATTCTCGGCAGATTATACTACGACAACGGAGGAAACAGTAAATGGCTAGCAACGGTAGTTCAACTTGTTGGCTTTCCTGTCCTACTTCCATATTATCTCTTGTCACTTAAAACACATGCAACTACTAATAGAGATGGAAAAAGAACCTCACCTAGGAACCGTGTATTGGTTTACGTAGTGCTAGGACTTCTTGTAGGAGCAGATTGCTATCTGTATTCCATCGGACTGCTTTACTTACCCGTTTCTACCTATTCCCTGATCTGTGCATCTCAGTTAGCCTTCAACGCTTTCTTCTCTTTTTTTCTCAACTCACAAAAGCTAACTCCTATCATTTTGAATTCTCTTTTCCTACTAACTATATCTTCCATCCTCCTCGCGTTCAATAATGAGGAGTCAAATGCCACAAAAGTTACAAAAGGAGAGTATGTCAAAGGTTTCATATGCACTGTTGGTGCGTCTGCTGGGTATGGTCTAGTCTTATCCCTACAACAGCTAGCCTTCCTTAAAGTTCTAAGGAGGCAAAATTTCTCAGAAGTTATGGATATGATAATCTACGTGAGTCTAGTGGCCAGTTGTGTTAGCGTGGTGGGGCTTTTTGCTAGCAGCGAGTGGAAAACATTGAGCAGTGAAATGGAATACTACAAACCTGGGAAGGTATCCTACGTTATGAACCTAGTGTGGACAGCTATTACCTGGCAGGTATTCTCCATTGGTGGCACAGGACTGATCTTTGAGCTTTCTTCTCTATTCTCAAATGCCATAAGCGTTCTGGGACTCCCCGTGGTTCCTATCCTGGCTGTCATCATTTTCCATGACAAGATGAATGGGTTAAAGGTGATTTCTATGATCCTAGCTATTTGGGGTTTCACTTCATATGTGTACCAACAATATCTTGATGACAAAAACTTGAAGAAAAGTCATGGAATCCCAACAACAGAATCCCCTGACCCACCAGAAGCAGAAGGTGTAGTCGGCAATCAAAATAAGCTGATATCCTGAAAGATGGTGTTCCGCAGATTACTGACTTCATCGAGCTGATTGAGTAAGATTACTTTACTTATGGCCTGGAGGCAACCTACAGTGAAGAATAAACATAATACATTTTTGATGCAACTCAAGTAAAGTCTCAATTGATTCTTTTTTTTGCATCATTGTAACAGGAAATAGATTTCATTTAAATAAATAGTGAATAAGGTAACTCTGGTTTAATTTTGATTATGATTATCCAATTTACATCTTAGTCTCAGTGAAACGGCATACTATCAAAGTTCATTGTTTAAAGCTTGAGTTCATAGCAGCTTAACATGAGTATTACGAAAATGTTAACTCAACTCTGTATATAATGAGAGCGTCTAGGCAGAATGATAAAAGCAGACATTCGTTTAACAAAAACACTTAGCCATAACTTACAAGGATTTCAATGCACCATTCGGCTTTCTCTAGTTTTACCGAAAATATTGTGAAACAATGACAAACGGAAATCAAGTCTAATGAAAAAAGAAGGAATCTTAAGCAGACAGGTCCAAACATCCTTGGGGAAACAGAGTAATAAATGACCAGAAATTATACCATTTGGAAGTCTCTAGCAGTTAAAGTGACTTCCTCTGCCAACCAATATTTATGTTGCAAATGTCTTTTTTTGCAAAGATTGGTGAGACGTAATCTCCATAAATATGTTCCTAATTCACATGCCTGATCATAAGAGAAAGATAGTCAGACGGAACAAACCAAAGAAATTAAAGAAGACGAAGTTCTTTCAAAATAGTCATCCTGAAGGCCACGCAATCATTCAACTTGTGTGCATGAGTGTTACGTTTGTATTTATGTGTATCAGCGTATGGTTCATGTGTCTCCACACAGCTTTAAACTACTGAGTAAATAATGGCTACACATCATTTCCTTCTTGAATTGACTCAAATCATCTCTAGATCAACAATAGTGACATCTTTGGATGTTAAAAAAATAAAAATTAAATTCGTAGCTAGAGAAAGATATACAATTTGGCATTTACTGAATGTGGGGACCAATGCAATGAAAACGGTGACCGCTTCCGAATCCCTTAATATATAGCTACAGCATGTCTCACCCATATCACAGAAGCAATCACTTGGTAGCATTAGTAACCAAGAAGACTGATAATAAGATACCTTATACTTCGAATCTGTTCAGAAGACTGTTAGTCCCTCCTTGTCCATCTCGAAGTAGGCGATTCCAATTCCACTATGAAGGGGAATCAAGAACTACAAGTCATTGGTGAGTAAGCATAAACCAGTATGTCAAGAACCTACCGGTCTTTTATCTTCAAAGAAAAGAACGGAAAAGATTATTATGGTATCTTTATAAATCATTATATATCAAAATTCTTTATGAGTGACAACAAATAAATCGTAAACTAATTTTTTACGTTATTTTCCATCACTTACCAGTTCAGCAGGAAAAAGAAACAAATCCAACAGATCAGGACGAAAGAAATTGGGTCAGTGGCAGCCAAACAAAAGTATCTCACTCTAATACTTACAAACGGTGGCTCCGGATGGCTTTCTATACATTCTTTGTCATTTCAGGCCAATCAGCTGCTACAATTCTGGGCAGGCTATACTATGAAAATGGAGGAAACAGCAAATGGCTAGCAACAATAGTTCAGCTTGTAGGCTTTCCTATTCTACTTCCATATTATCTCTTGTCAGTCAAAACATATACAACAACTCAAAGAGATGACAAAATAACCTCACTTAGGAACCGTGCATTGGTTTACATAGTGCTTGGACTTCTTCTAGGAGCAGCTTGCTACCTATACTCCATCGGACTGCTTTACCTACCCGTTTCTACCCTTTCCCTGATCTGTACATCACAGTTAGCCTTCACCGCTTTCTTCTCTTATTTCCTCAACTCACAAAAGCTTACTCCTATCATTTTGAATTCTCTATTCCTCCTCACTATATCTTCCACCCTCCTTGCATTCAATAATGAAGAATCAAATTCCAAAACAGTTACAAAAGGAGAATATGTCAAAGGTTTCATATGCACCCTTGGTGCATCTGCTGGATTTGGATTACTGTTATCCCTACAACAGCTAGCCTTCCGTAAGGTTCTAAAGAAGCAAAATTTCTCAGAAGTTATGGACATGATAATCTACATGAGTCTCGTGGCCAGTTGTGTTAGCGTGGTGGGGCTTTTTGCTAGTAGCGAGTGGAAAACTTTGAGCAATGAAATGGAAAGCTACAAACTGGGACAGGTATCCTATGTCATGAACCTAGTCTGGACAGCTATTACCTGGCAGGTATTCTCCATTGGTGGCACAGGACTGATCTTCGAGCTTTCCTCCCTATTCTCAAATGCCATAAGCGTTTTGGGACTCCCAGTGGTTCCTCTCCTGGCTGTTTTCATTTTCAATGACAAAATGAACGGGTTAAAGGTGATTTCTATGATCCTAGCTATTTGGGGTTTCATATCCTATGTCTACCAACAATATCTTGATGGAAAAAACTTGAAGAAAAGTCATGGAATCCCAACAACAGAATCCCTTGACCCACCAGAAGCAGAAGGGTCAAGTGGGCAATCAAAGTAAGCTGATATTTCGAGAAATGGTGTTCCACAGTTTGCAGACTAAAGCGAGTGGAACAAGTAAACTTACCTTTCTCTATCAGCCTGAAGGCAGCCTACAATGAAGAATGAACATAAAAGATTTGTGATCCGACTCAAGTGAAGTCTCAGCTTGAAATGGTTTGCATCATTGTATCAAGAAGTATATTTTATTTAAATGAATAGTGAATGATTCTGGTTTAGTCTGAAATACGATTTACCCAAATCACATTATACGCTCACTGAAAAAGCATTAGCCAAGTCAGAATATCTGATTACAACTATTCATTGTTTAAAACTTGAGTTCATAGCAACTAAAGCAGAATATTACGAAAATGTAACTCAATTCTGTATATAAAGAGAAAGTGTACGCTATGTAGCTTTTTAAGTTATTGTAATGTATATCTAGGTGTAAGGAGAGTTCCAATCTGCTTACATCAGGCACCCAACATAGTGAGCCCGAGGATACTTCTTTTGCAGTTGTGGCCATTGAACAAAGAATTGATCAGCTATCCTCAACTTGTAAAGTAGGAATCCACTTAATGAGAGCTTTTTCACTCTTGCTACACTCTCAACATAAAAGATTGATGACCATCTAATTCCCAGCACCTGTAACCCAAGATGAAAACAAGCACTTATTGGAATCCTAGATGTAATGGAGAAACCATGAATTAGAATCAAATAAAATATCTTATGTTGTTTTCACCAGTCCATTAAAGGTCATCCAAAAAGTAGTGGAAAGAGGTGCAACGAATCTTAATAAGATATTTTTGAAGTGTGTATACCTTGAACAAGAAAGCAATCACACACAGAGGAATACAGGTCCCAGGACCATTGCAAAGAATCTGAAAAACTTCAACCAGATCTAATAAATAACCTGATTCATATGTTTCTATTAAAAAAAAACCCTTAAAGAAAGTCTGAAAGCATTCAGTTAAGTATCATACCACTTGTGGTCTGATCCGGATCATTAGCCACAGAGCATGAACAATAGCAACAATGGTAGTCCAGACAGAAGTCACATAAGACTGACCAACTTCACGACTCCGGTAAATCTGCATGAACTGTGATGATACTTCCTTGACAGCAGGCTATGTGACAGCCATATCAAGCAAGAAACACAGAATTAACCATTTGGTTAAAGAATTTCATACTGATGACTGCAGTATCAACCACTCAAGAAACTAACACATCTTCCCCGAACAATTTTTTTACCTCAAGACAATCATAAGCCAGAAGCAGCAAAATCCAAAGAGGAAGGCTAATCATTCAACAGAAATCGAAAATAAGGATTCAACTAACCTTCTTGGCTACAGAATCTTCAAAACTGCGAGCTTTCTGGAGACTCATGTTATCAGTAGCTGCAGCAATATAAAACCTTGGTGTAAATCTGTCCTTACGCAAAACAGAGAGGAGACTCAACATCTCTGCCGTGTGCCCACCTGATAAAAATAACCAACAGCAACATTTTAGCTAAATATGATAAGCACATAACATCAATCCAACTGAAAAGGACACTCTATTATTACTCTTCTTACCAGAACCAAGAACAACAAGGGTACTAAAAGACTGTGAAGCTCCTTTTGGAAAGGGTTTGCCACACCGGTATACAACGTATAGTACACGAACCATTAGAAGAACGATTGCCAAAACAATCAATACACCAATGCTCAATTTTGAGCCCATCTTCGAGTAAAAACAGCTGCAACCTTCCTTCATGATATCCTGATAATAACACTCTTTTCTTCCGAAACTACATTTGTACAAAGCATGTAAAGTCATATATCAAATTCAAACACGAAGATAAAAAGGGACAACAAATGGAAGCATATAGCCAATTTACAAATACCCAAAAGCAAATTATAGTTAAAATGAAAAAAAAAAAAAAAAAAAAAAAAAAAAAAACCTTTGCGCTAGATCGGATAAAAAAACGCCATATAACTCAAAATCAGACCACAAAACTAAAACGAATCGTCCAAATCGAACTTAGAAAATTAGTTAAAGTTCAGAAGAGTCACGACGGCGATTATAAATGAGGAAGTTAGAAAACAAAACAAAAAATCTCACCGGCGACGGAGAGCTCCGGCGCGGTGACGGGATCGAAAAAGATTGGTTAACGTGCTTCTTACCTTTACCACCGTTCGATTCGGATATTGCTTAGAATACACGTGGCGTGAGCACGTGACTATTAATCTTGTGGTGGACCTGCGAACATAAGATTATTTTTCCCAATTTTTTTAATTTTCTCGAGAAAAGGATACTTGAGAAAGAACTCATGAAGAAGATATTACACAGTAGTACTTGAAGAAATAAAATGTTTTTTTCTGAAAACCTTCATTGAAGCAACTTTTGTATCTTTCTTCGTTTAGGGAATTTTTTTCTGATTAAACATGACGACGAAGCTATCGAGCTTCTGCTTCTTGACTCATGGATTAGCAGCAGGAATCTCCTGCGAGAGAGAACATGGAACTTCTCGTAGATTTTTCTATCTCCCTTCGTCGCGTCGATTAGTTTCTACTTCTTGTAAGATGCGACAGCAACGTGGTTTCGAGTGAGTGATACTATTTTTTTCGATTTTGATTGATTTCTGTGTTGGGTTTTGAGAGTTATATATGAATTTGATTGATTTAATGTTGGCAATTTCATTTGGCATTTTCAGCGATTGTGCTCTTAGATATCTTGCTTGTAGTGGTTGTTTACCTTTAAACTTATCTCTGGTTTCTAGTTTTGAAATTCTGATTTTGAGTTTTCTTTTTTTTTATGCGTTTGAATGTTTGTTTTCCTTAGCTTAGCTATTTTGGTGATCATAGATGTGAATTTGCTTATGATTATCTTGATTTTAAATTCATTTATTTCGGCATAATGAGTTTAGAGAGGAGTCTGAGAATCAAAGGCTTTACTTGGAAACTAGATACAATATATGTTGGTTTTGATATTTGATGACATTAATTTGTTGTATACTTGTGTGCATAGTGCTTTGCCTCTTTGATTCCTTTCATTTCTCATTTCCTGATGTGCTGAAAAAAATTTCAGCCCGAGTAAAAGACAAGAGATCAAGAAAGGCTCTCCTGAACCGATCCTATCGATAAATTCAAGTCTTCAGCGCAACAGCGATGAGGAATCAGAACCTGAAAACGGTTCTGCTGACAGTGTGCCGAGCCTCAAGTCAGATGTAGAAAAGGGCACCGTAGATATTAATCATGTTGATGAGAATACTGAAAAGAGAGAGGATATACAAACAATTGAAGTAACTCGGCGCAAAAGTAGACCTGCAAAGAAGAAGGAGGAGAATGTTAATGCCACTACTGATGATGGACAGAACTTGAACAGTTTAACTGTGCCTGAGGTTGCAAAAGCTTTGGTATGGATTTCTTTTTAGTGTTTATGGTGTATTGTAACTCTCCTCTTCTGAAAAAGGTCTTCATAGGATCATTTTTGTAAATTATTTTCCAGTCCATTAACAAAAGTGGAGGCGAGCAGATTTCAGATGGACAGTTTGGGGAACTTATGACAATGATAAGAAATGCAGAAAAAAGTAATATTCCCTATATGATTGGTTATGTGTATTTCCTGATCTTGTGAAAGCCGTCATTAATCACTGATGTCTTGTTGTGGCAGATATTCTTCGCCTCGATCAAGCACGGGCCAGTGCGCTTGACGACCTTAACAAGATTCTAAGTGAAAAGGAAGCATTGCAGGGTGAAATCAATGTCTTGGAAATGAAATTGGTCGAGACTGATGAAAGGATTAAAACTGCTGCTCAAGAGAAAGTACATGTAGAGCTTCTCGAAGAACAGTTAGAGAAGCTTCGTCATGAAATGATCTCCCCCCCAGAAACTGATGGTTATGTGCTAGCTCTTAGCAAAGAGCTCGAAACATTGAAGATGGAGAATCTCACTTTGAGAAATGATATAGAAATGCTTAAGTCAGAACTTGACAGTGTTAAAAATACTGGTGAACGTGTGGTGGTGTTGGAAAAGGAGTGCTCAGGTTTGGAATCTTCTGTAAAGGATTTGGAGTCTAAGTTATCGGTTTCTCAGGAAGATGTCTCCAAGCTTTCTACTCTTAAAACCGAATGCACTGATCTATGGGCAAAGGTAGAGAATCTACAGCTGTTGTTAGATAGAGCTACCAAACAAGCAGAGCAAGCTGTTATAGTATTACAGCAGAATCGAGATCTCAGAAATAAGGTCGATAAAATTGAGGAATCACTTAAAGAGGCTAATGTTTATAAAGAATCTTCAGAAAAAATTCAGCAGTACAATGAGCTAATGCAACATAAGGTGACATTACTCGAGGAGCGGCTTGAAAAATCTGATGCAGAGATATTCTCGTATGTTCAATTATATCAAGAATCGATAAAAGAATTCCAGGAAACACTTGAAAGTTTGAAGGAAGAAAGCAAGAAAAATTCTAGAGATGAACCGGTTGATGATATGCCTTGGGATTATTGGAGTCGGTTACTGTTAACGGTTGATGGATGGTTGCTTGAAAAGAAAATAGCAAGCAATGATGCTGACTCACTAAGAGAAATGGTATGGAAGAAGGATAGAAGAATTCATGATACTTATATTGACGTCAAAGATAAGAATGAACGTGATGCCATCTCTGCATTTCTCAACCTTGTCTCATCTCCAACAAGGTTATCATCGTCTTCTGGAAAATTTCTTTGTTTGTTTGTGGGTTTTCAAAGTTTTTTAAAACGTAACCTATTTTCGTCATCTTATGTTGATTCTAGTTCAGGATTGTATGTCGTTCACATTGCAGCTGAGATGGCACCTGTAGCTAAGGTGTGTTCAGCTAAACCCCCAAAAATATCTCTTGCTTACATGTTAATTTTCTGAAATAGAAGCATTGCATGGAAGTGTTTCTACTTTACCCCCTTTCGTAATTCCTTATGTAATTTTTGTAGGTGGGAGGCTTGGGAGATGTTGTGGCCGGTCTTGGTAAGGCATTGCAAAGACGAGGTCATCTGGTAGAGATTATTCTCCCCAAATATGACTGTATGCAGTATGATCGCGTGCGTGACTTAAGGGTAATATTTTTACCAATATGATAAATAAATTAATTATAAGAGGACTTTAACTTTTCCTTTTTAGTTTTTGTTCTTGATGATAGTTTGATTTATGCACTGCAGGCTTTGGATACTGTTGTGGAGTCATATTTTGATGGAAAGCTATACAAAAACAAAATCTGGATTGGCACTGTTGAAGGTGAAGTGACTTAGTTTTTTTTCTTGTGTTTGTGTCTTTTGGTTTTCAAAGTGATTCAAAGTTTCTCTCTGTTTACAGGTTTGCCTGTGCATTTTATTGAACCTCAACATCCGAGCAAATTCTTCTGGAGAGGACAGTTTTACGGAGAGCAAGATGATTTCAGACGCTTCTCATATTTTAGCCGAGCTGCATTAGAGTTGCTTCTTCAGTCTGGCAAAAAACCCGACATCATACATTGCCATGACTGGCAAACAGCTTTTGTTGTACGTTTTGATCTTATTTTTAGGCAGTCGCATATTTGATTTTGTTTAGGATATATTTTGAAGCTATATTGTTTTAATTTTATTACAGGCACCGCTTTATTGGGACCTGTATGCTCCAAAGGGATTAGATTCTGCAAGAATATGCTTTACATGTCACAATTTTGAGTATCAAGGTACCGCGTCTGCTTCGGAATTGGGATCTTGCGGGCTTGATGTTAACCAGTTAAATAGACCAGACAGAATGCAAGATCACTCGTCTGGAGATAGAGTCAATCCTGTTAAGGTAAAAAAAATGATTACAAAGCCAATATAAACCAAGAGAGAATTTCGACCGTGTACTCTTGTTCATCTCTCTTTCTCCTTTTGGTCCAGGGTGCTATAATTTTCTCGAATATTGTAACAACCGTGTCCCCTACTTATGCACAAGAAGTTCGAACAGCCGAGGTAGAAGACTTTCCTTTGGTATTTTCGTTCAATGTTTGTTAACCAAAGCTTACATAGTAATCGGTTTAATGTATTTACAGGGAGGAAAAGGACTTCATTCGACACTTAATTTTCACTCCAAGAAATTCATGGGAATCCTTAATGGCATTGACACGGATTCATGGAATCCTGCCACTGACCCTTTCCTCAAGGCTCAGTTCAACGCGAAAGATCTACAAGGGAAAGAAGAAAACAAATACGCCCTTAGAAAGCAACTTGGACTTTCTTCAGCCGAGTCAAGACGGCCTCTGGTAACTTCATGTTTCCGCGAATGCTGAGAGAGTCTTGAGCATTCAGATTCAGTTAATTTATTATACATTTACTTTGGTGTAGGTTGGTTGCATAACAAGATTAGTGCCACAGAAAGGAGTTCATTTAATCAGACATGCCATATACAGGACGTTAGAGTTAGGTGGACAGTTTGTACTTCTTGGTTCTAGCCCGGTTCCACATATTCAGGTAACCAACCTGGTCCCTGAGATGCTCACTAGCTTCTCCCTCTTCATTTCGTCTATCTAATTTCCGTTTCTTGGTTTTTTGAGCTTTGATGCATTTTGGTTTTTTCTAGAGAGAATTTGAAGGTATTGAACAACAGTTTAAGAGCCATGATCATGTCCGGTTGTTACTGAAATACGATGAAGCTCTGTCTCATACAATTTATGCAGCATCTGATTTGTTCATCATTCCTTCAATTTTTGAGCCGTGTGGACTTACTCAGGTACAATATAAAACATGATCTGAAACCAAACCATTGATGTGACTAAATATCGGCTATTCTCATTGTTGGATTCTTTTCTTACACAGATGATCGCTATGAGATATGGCTCTATTCCAATTGCGCGAAAAACCGGAGGCTTGAACGACAGGTAAAACCAAAATTGATACCTGGTCTGAAACATTGCTTATCTCTAGATGACATTGGTTTAAAGATCATTTCTTCTTATTTTAAATCCTTTTTCAGTGTCTTTGACATCGATGATGATACAATACCAACTCAATTTCAAAATGGATTTACATTTCAAACCGCAGACGAACAGGTAAATTAACTACTCTCTCTTCTTTTCAAATCTTTATCAATCTTTGCTCATCATAGCTGAAAACAGTGGTGAGCATTTGTATAATCCGTTCAGTTTTGTTTCGGTTCATATGTCCTGAACAAAAAAATGTGAAAACAGGCTTTCAATTATGCATTGGAGCGAGCATTTAATCATTACAAGAAGGATGGAGATAAATGGATGAAACTAATAGAGAAAGTGATGAGTATAGATTTCAGTTGGGGATCATCGGCTACTCAGTACGAAGAACTCTACTCGAGATCAGTGGCCAGAGCAAGATCTGCTGCTAACCGCATGTGAGTTTCACATAGCTCCTAGAGATTCTTTCTTGTAACACACATTCATCTTTAGTTAAATATATCTTTTTACTTGTTCATAATAGAAAAAAAAAACATTTGGGAGTTCCAGTCACATTCATAAGATTTATACTCCCTTCCGTTCATATGATAATCTACGTTCATCAAAATAGTTATGAATAATAACCACATAGTGTATATTACTTATTTAAGGTTATAATCCATGTAAAGATCAAGTCTTAGCAGAAGACCACGTTTGTTTTTAAATCTTATCAATATGTGAGAATTTGATTAATCTTAGCATCTATTTAAAGTTTTACACAGGTTCATACCAAAATACAATTACAATTACAAAAACTATGATTCAATCCATTGTGACTATATCTCGAAGAGAAGATTCATCAGAGTATCTTAGAGAGTTATTCTCTCTAACTGGTTTGTTGTCGCGAAACTACTACAAGTCTCTTGACTCTCTTCAACACTTTCCCAAGCTGTTACCACATGTAAATTCAGTAGGGGCTTAGGTGGAACCTGCAGAGCTTCTAGGTTTCCCTCCAACATTTCAACGACTTTTCTCATTGGAGGACGATCAGATGGATTGGTCTGGATACACCACAATCCCACCAATGCCATTTTCTTCACTATCTTCTCTTCTTCTTCAACTATATGATCTCCGAAATATTTCATGGTTTCTTTCCTCTCGAGGTCTTCATAGATCCAATCAGGGAAGTACATTGAAATATTCTTGGATGTAGACTCAGCTCTTTTTATGTTCTTTGCCCCAATCATCTCAAGAACCACCATTCCATAACTATACACATCCGACTTATGTGAAACTCCTCCAAAGTTCTTGGAGAACACTTCAGGAGCAATGTACCCAATGGTCCCTCTAGCGTCTAGCAACGATATGACACTGTCTTTCTTTTTGCAAAGTTTGGCAAGACCGAAATCCGAAATTTTCGGGCAAAAGTCTTCGTCCATCAGTATATTTTGTGGCTTTATATCAAAATGCACAATCTTCGATACACAACTATTGTGCAAGTACTCTAACCCACGAGCAACGCCAACCGCAATGTTGTATAAAATTTTCCAGTCCATCTTCGTTGGCATATTCTTGGATATAAACTTGTCAAGCGATCCATTTGGCATGAACTCGTAAATTATAGCTTTGTTGCTCCCTTCATAGCAAAATCCAAACAGAGAGACGATATTAACATGAGATGCTCTACTCATGCTAGCTAATTCATTGATGAACTCTTCTCCATTCCCCTTTGACTCCTTCAAGATCTTCAACGCAATATCTCGGCCACTAGCATCGAGTAATTTTCCTTTATAGACAGTTCCAAATCCTCCTTCCCCTATAACATAAGCGAATGAGTTGGTCATCTTCTTGACGTTTTCATAACTATATCGTTTCAACATTACAGCCGCTTCAATGTTGTTGTCATTACAAGGACTGTCTCTTCTCTTGCTCCTTGCGTTCATTATTACCGCAGCCACAACTATAATGATTACTACAACTAAAGTTACTGAGACACCTGAAAGAAAAATACACCTTAGAAACGTAGGTATTTAATCATGTACATCAATGAGCAAGAGACCTATAGTTGCAATGAAGGGGTATAGTTACCGAGTATGGGTTTTAACTTCCGTTGATGAGAATGATCTATAACATATATCAAAAAAAAAAATGATTAACAAATCTAAAAGACACATGCGTACATTATTTGTCGTGTTTAAGAAAACGAAAATGAACTTACGTTTCGCCCCAGCTAATGGAGGAACCATTGAGCTTATGTTGTTGCTTCTCCAACCAAAGAACATCATCACAATTAACAAATACAGTAATTAGTACTGTACATCACATAATTATATTCTTTTTTAAATATGTGAAAATGAATATATTCGACCCATACTTTCCAAAATGTTAAAGGTTACTCATCTAATTAAGAGAATAAAAATTTGTCACATACTTACACGTTGTTCTCTTCCTGTTCCTAAATAAAAGTTTTTCTAGATTTTTGTTTCTTAAAAATAGATTTATTACTTTTGTTGTGTATTTTTAATAATTGGTTATAAACTTAAATAAATACTGATTGAAATTAATCTGAATTTTTTTAAGTTATTCTTGGTTTTGGAGTTATGAGAATTGTTTAGTACAAAAAAAAAAATAGTTAGTCGAAAACTGGATGCGTGTATCACCTGATAGTGTTGTTGTTGAGAATCGACGAAGAACCGCAAAACGTGACGACGTAATCAGTTGAGTTTGGACAAGTGAAAGTACTGACATGGTCGTCGTAAGCATAGGCATAAGCACTTGGACACGCGCTCTCGAAGTTGTTCGTGTACGTCGTCGGTTTGCAATTCTCTTTGGACTTATAATCATTGGTGCAACAAATCTCCGGCGCACCTGATTCTTGACACGAGCTACTACAAGCTACTAGCTTCTCTCCTGAGAACGTCTTGAGATCCTCTGGACAAGTCTTGTTCAGATCAACCACACAACCGGCGGGGATACATGTAGTAGTACTAGTAGTCTTCTGCGACGGGACCACCACGATCGGAAGATTATATCCGTATTCGACACTTACGGTGTAGCTGTCAAAACCGCCTTTGATATCGAATCTGAAGTAGACGTAAGTCACCGGAGTCCAACTGTAATCATCAAGAGAGCATTCTATTTTTCCCGATTCGCAGTCTCCCGTTACGCAAGAGAAATTCCCTGCGGCCGTGGAGCAGAGCGTCCTACCTGAGATAATCCCGTACCACGAGGAAGGCGCGTTGATATCGCGCACCTCCCCCGTTTTGAGAGCGAAGCCTGTGGTGGTAATTTGGGAGTTCCATGAGTAGATTACTGGCCACACAGTCTGATCACATTTGTTCTCTATCGTTAAAATACTCCTTGACAACACTCCTACGAATTATTACATATATATGTAACCAAAAAAAAAGATACAATTGATAAATCAACAGTAAAAAATTGTTAACCATGAATTAAAAAAAGATGATCATACCGGAGACGAACAAATGTGAAGCAAGGAAGATAATTATTGGAAACCTTTCCCCCATTTGGACAAATACACTCTGATGATCCTATATATTATATATATTGTGTTTAGAGTTTAGGGTTTCTAGAATCTAAATTACATTCGTTTAGTGCTAATCTATGTATGTTGTATGATTCTGCGTTGTGTCTGTCGGTTCGTGAGATTTATAGAAAAAGAGATGTTCGAAGATTTCAATCCTTAGTACAGTTTGGTTTTTGTACGTAGCTGTGTGTTATCGGGTTGACTCTTTTTTTTTTCCTTCAGTTATACTCAATCAACTTATTGTATTAAATGGTAGACTCGGTCCATTTTGTATTGTAGATATTGAATGATGTTGCTTTCACTAATTAATAATGCTCTCCTTATCCATGGTTCTAAATTCTAACTGGTAAGTTAGCTATGCATAGTAGATATATGTATTATCTGATAATATCGTGCTTATATTAATTGTAGAGTAGGGTCGTCTAAGAGATGATGCAATCCAGATTGATGCTGATATTTAACCACCTAACTAAAAGCTTTGTCTGCTACGTTTAAGGACAAAGGATATGAATTAATCTTAGATAAAACATAAACTTTTCTTATTTTCTAATATTGCTTTTAGACTCATAAGACTAACAATAATGATGGCCTAAGTAGTAAGCCCGGGCTTGGTAAATAAGAGTTCCACATTTTTTTACGACCATTCTTCAACGTAATTCTAAGGTGTCAGATTTTAGCATCTAGAATAACATATACATCATTCAATAAGCAAAGGTCCGTTTATTTCGCATAAATGATCGATGAAGCAACAGTGAAGAGCAACACAATAAATTTGAGTTTCATCAAGAATTCCCAACAAGAAAATCCCAACATTTTCACAACTTTCTTTTGTCTCTTCCACAAAACCTTAAACTGGTTCCTTGGAAACGACTGGAGTATATTGGCTAGTAGAAGGAGTTTTTCTCTCTAACAAGCTTAGTGTCGAAGACTCGTGACTATCTTCAGCAGTTTCCCAAGCCGCTACTAGGTGTATGTCCAAGGGAGGCTTAGGTGGAACCTGTAGAGCTTCTAGACTCCCCTCTAACATTTCAACAACTTTTCTCATTGGTGGACGATCAGCTGGATTGGTCTGTATACACCACAAACCCACTAATGTCATCTTCTTCACTATCTCCTCTTCTTCTCCTTCGATTATTTGATCTTCCAAAAGTCTCATGGCTTCTTTCCTCTCAAGATCCTCATAGACCCAATCTGGAAAGTACATTGAACTTTTATTGGACGTAGAAGTTTCAACTTCTTCTCTTTTCGTTGCCCCGATCATCTCAAGAACCACCATTCCATAACTATACACATCTGACTTATGCGAAACTCCTCCATAGTTTTTGGAAAACATTTCAGGAGAAATATACCCTACGGTCCCTCTCGCGTCTAACATGGATATGATACTTTCTTTCTTTTTTCCGAGCTTAGCAAGACCGAAATCTGAAATCTTCGGACAAAAGTCTTCGTCTATGAGTATATTCTGTGGCTTTATATCAAAATGCACAATCTTGGATACACAACTATTGTGCAAATACTCTAACCCGCGAGCAACACCTACCGCAATGTTGTATAAAGCTTTCCAGTCCGTCTTCGTTGACATATTCTCGGAAATAAACTTGTCAAGGGATCCATTCGGCATGTACTCATAAATGATAGCTCTGTTACTCCCTTCATAGCAAAATCCAAACAGAGAAACAATATTAACATGAGAAGCTCTACTCATGCTAACTAGTTCATTGATGAACTCTTCTCCATTCCCCTTTGACTCTTTCAAGATCTTCAGTGCAATATCTCGGCCGCTGGCATCTGGTAGTTTTCCTTTATAGACAATCCCAAATCCTCCTTTCCCAAGAACATGAGCAAACGAGTTGGTCATCTTCTTGACTTGTTTGAAACTATATCGTTTCAACATCACAATGGCTTCAATGTTCTCGTCGCTCAATCCACCCTTTCTTTTTGCTCTCACAACTACCGCAATCACAACAATAATGATCAACACAGCTAAAGCTGCTGAGACTCCTGGAAGAAAAAACAAGTAAAAATTAGGTGCTATGTACATGATATGGCAACAGAGATAGTTATGATTGCCATGAAGGTGGTACCAAGTATGGGTTTTAACTTCCGTAGAGAATTATCTGCAAATGTATGATCAATACAAAAATTATGATTAAACATAATTTAAACAAAACCAAAATAAACATCGCATAGACATTATAATAAGAGGAAGGAAACAAAATTTTACTTACGTGTTGGTTCTAGTAATGGAGCCATCGAGCTTCTGGTATTGATTTTTTTTTTTCCAATCAAATAACATAATTACATATAGGAAATTAGGAAAATTAGTTTATTGAATTGCATTCAAAACAATAAAATTTATAAATCTACTAGTATATAACCTGAATCATCTCACCAAAAAAAAAGAAAAAAACTATATAACCTAAATCATGAAATGTATTTATAAATTATCATATCCTCGAGTCTTGTTTTGGCACCAAAAAGTATTATAAGAACAACACCAAAACAATGCGACGTATCTACCAAATTTTATATCATAATGTAGTATTATAAAATTTTCAAAATATTCAATTAACGCCTGCCCCTATAAATTCTTGGGTTGGTGGGGGATTTCCAAATATTAATTTTGTTTTTGTTAGTCTCTTAAAAACTATAAACATATATCATCGCCTTTACATAAAACTACACCTATGCACCAACTAAACAACTATGGACTAGTTGCCAACTTGTCATATGTGGGGGCGTTTCCATACAATATCTTGGAGATTTAAAAAAAAGAAAAATTATATAAAAATTAAATTAAATTAAAATTTATAATTTGAGAAAACTTTATAATTATTGAAAAATTTAAAAATTTAAAACATACATAAGATAAAGTTAAGGAATGAAAGAAAGAAGAGAAAAATTAAGAAAAATGATTTTTTCCCTTTATATATACTAGGGCTGTCAACCCGTGCGTTGCCGCACGGGGAAATGAAAACTTAAAGTAATTAACATTGTTAAATAACGGTTTTGAGTGGAAGATTGATTATAATCTTCTAATTGTATATTTTTTTAATTTAATTTACGAATTTATTTTCTTTACTTTTTCTATATTATATTATGATATATTAGATTTGTGAGACTGAGAAAGCTTTCTTACTATTTTATCTTTATCTTTCAAATGATATTTTTCTGTTGGTATCGCTGCATTTTAATACTGATGATCCTAGAGAGTCAAAAGAGTTCAACATTTATGAACGGCCATTTTTTCTCTTAATGTGCCCCTTCTTTTGCTTTATTTAAAAAAACAAAGATGTCAACGCAATTATGAAATGAACTTATAGCTACTGCCCTTAAAAGAGTATTAAAGATTCATGCCTTTTCCTTTCACAAAATATAAGAAGCTTTTTGGATACAAAGTTCAACTATTTCTATCATAATACATGTTTCAAACACCAACGAATCATTAGTCCTATAAAACTAATGAGACAACTCTACAGATTCAACTAAATTTAACATAACATTATAGGAACATAAACAATGCCTAAAGAAACATCAATGAGAAAGAATATGCTTGAACATGAGTCAGTCAACGCCGATTAGTAAATAGAAAAATAATACTTAGATTTTTTTAAACTCAGAGGTGTGTAACAATACTCAGAAAAACAAAAACTCTTTTCAAGTTCCATAGAAATCTATATATATAAACAAAGAGGTGTGAAAACAAAAAGATGTGAAAAATATCAGGTGTGAACATTTAAAGCTAGGAGTACGACGAATAAACACAATTGTTAGATATAAAACCTGAGGGTACGACGAATAAACACAATTGTTGGATATAAAACCTTGCAACTTTTGACATCATTAACAAATATAAATCGTTAGATGAGATAACAAAAACAATCTCATCCGTTAGATTAAAACGATGACATCAGCAATCATAAAAAGTGAAATATGCTTGAACATGAGTCGGTCAACGCCGATTAGTAAATAGAAAAATAATACTTAGAGTTTTTTAAACTCAGAGGTGTGCAACAATACTCAGAAAAACAAAAACTCTTTTCAAGGTCCACATAAATCTATATATATATATAAACAAAGAGGTGTAAAAACAAAAAGATGTGAAAAATAACAGGTGTGAACATTTAAAGCTAGAGATACGACGAATAAACACAATTGTTATATATAAAACCTGGGGGTACGACGAATAAACACAATTGTTGGATATAAAACCTTGCAACTTTTGACATCATTAACAAATATAAATCGTTAGATGAGATAATCAAACCAATCTCATCCGTTAGATTAAAACGATGACATCAACAATCATAAAAAGTGGGTTTGCTATTATATATAGATATCCTAGAGAATTTTTGAGGAATGCCCCTTTTAGTGTATCCTTTTTTAAAAATACTTTTCTTTTCTATCCATTTTTTAAAATACCCCTTTTCAAATATGAAAAAATTATAAACTTTTATATGGTTGATAAGGTACATCAAGATCATCATTACTACTGGAAGACTAAATCCAAATAATTATAAGGTTTTAAGAGGTTCTAAACGGCATTTATAAAGTTTTTACAAGGTTTTTAAAAGGTTTACAAAGTTTTTATAAAAGGTTTTTAAATGATTTTTAAAAGGCTTTTATGCGGCATTTATGAATATATATATATATATATATATATATATATATATATAAATTTGCACACATATAAAGATAATTTGTGTTTATAAATATAAACTTACACATATATTTTTGATAAATTTCAAATTTTATAGTGACTTTTTTTTATTATATATATATTTATTCTACAGAATCTTGCCACGTGTACGCTTCTTATCACAATACTTAGATCTTAAATAAGATAACTTCTTAGACATTTTGATGTATTTTTGATTTAATTAAATCACAAATAATCCTAAGATCTATCTAAGATCTTGCCTATAATGATGGTCTTATAATGATGGTCGATAATAATGATGATCTTAGAATATTTTTTTGTTAGAATATTTTCATGATACTACGTTAACTAAATAGCCAAACTGTAGAACTTTTATTGCGAAAAATATTCTAGCGCTTTTTATCTGTACGATAACCTCATGTGGATAGGGAATCCACGCAAAATTTTAACAAAGTACTGCCTTGATTTATATGATTACATGTCGCTTTACATAATAATTGAATAATGTTTTTTTTTTAATACTTGTTTTAAACAAAGCACTACATATTTACCAAAAAAAAAATACTATCACTTAGACTTCCATTTTTTTTTGTAACAAATGACTATCTACCTAACGAGAATGTTTGACTTAATCAACACAATCAAGAAGGGAGTGAGAGGGGTAGAAAAACCAACCTGGTGATATTGGGAATGGAGGAGGGGCAAAACGTGATCACGTAGTCAGTTGAGTTTGTGCATGTGAAGGTGCTGTTATTATCGTTGAAGGCGTAGCTATAGGCGTACGGGCAAGCGCGGTCCAAGTTCTGCACATACTGTGTCGGCTTGCAAGTTTGCTTTGAGTTAAAGTAACGAGTGCAACAGTTCTCTTGGGAACCAGATTCTCGACACGCGCTGTTACATGCGACTAAATCTCGCCCGACAAATTTCTTAAGATCATTCGGACATGTCTTGCTCAAGTCAACCATACAACCTGAGCTGATACATGTCGGGATCGATGGAACAACCTTTAGTGGAAGGTTGTAACCGTACTCGAGGCTGATGGTATAGCTGTTGGTACCGCCGTCATCGATTCTAAACAAGATATAAGTGACCGGAGACCAACTGTATGACCCGGGACACTCGATCCCGCGGGATTGGCAGTCTCCCGTGGCGCACGTGAAGTTTCCTGTTGAATCGTTGGAGCAAAGCGTCCTAGCCGAGATAAGACCGTACCATGAAGATGGCGCTGGTATGGCACGCGCCTCTCCGCTTTTGAGAGTGAAGCCGGTGGTGGAGACTTGTGACCGCCATGAGAAGATGACTGGCCAAATTGTTTGATTGCATTTGTTCTCTATAGTTAGGATACTTGTGGAAAACACTCCTGCTTGTACAAAATCAAGAATTATAAAGAAGAAGAAAAAAAACAGTTAAAAACAAATCAAATAATCATCAATCGGATGAAAAATATGGTACCTGATACGAATATGTGTAAAGTAAGGAAGAGAACCAATGGCAACCTCTGCCTCATTGGCTTAAAGAAAAGAAAGAAAAAAAAAACAATGTTGTGTTGTGTTTTCTCTTGCTTCTTCATTGTAGTTTAGTAGAGAGATTCCAGAAGCAATAAAGTAGTCAGCACTCAGCAGCTAGGATTAAAAAAATGAAAAGAATTAACAAATAATAAAGTCAACCTTAGGTTGATTTTAAGGAATTATCATAAATCGTTTTTATTCAGCTCGGCTCAGATCAGTCTGCTGAATCAAAGTTTGTTTTAACGACGAAAACGTTTTTTTCACCATTAAAAAAATGGGATACCACAGTAGGATTTTGACATCAAAACTTCTGCAAATTAAAACTAAAAAATAATTAACACATAATTAATCAAAACAAACTTTGATTCACAAAAAATGATTACCAAATAATGTTTTTAACTACAAAGTAGAGGATATATATGAGAAGTTACCAAATAATGTTTTTCTAACGTATTCAGCAAACAAACTGCTAAAAAAAACATTATTTGGTAACTTCTCATATATATCCTCTACTTTGTAGTTAAGTTTTATCTTTGCTTTTTCGTCGTTTTGGGGAGAGTTTAGGGTAACATTATGTTAGGTTGGTTTATATAATTTCTACGTTGTGTTTCTCTGCTAATGTGGTTGATAAGTTCAAACCTTATCAGTTTGGTTGAAGCTGTTATTCTCCGATTACTTTGGCAAGGACATTGACAAGTATACTATTACATAATTTACATTTTGAGATAAGGAAATGCATATAATTTCACAACAAATTAAAATGTCAATTTCTGACCACTTATTCTGACTGAATACTGGCTTGATGTCAAAAGACTAGATGTCTCTTGACTCTCATCGGTAGTTTCCCAAGCCATTACAGCGGGTAAAGCCAAGATAGGTTTAGGAGGAACCACTATAGCTTCTAGACTTCCCTCTAACATTTCAACGACTTTTTTCATTGGTGGACGGTCACCTGGATTGGTCTGAATACACCACAAACCCACTAATGTCATTTTCTTCACTATCTCCTCTTCTTCTTCAATTACATGATCTTCTAAAATTCTCATGGTTTCTTTCCTCTCAAGATCCTCATAGATCCAATCTGGAAAGTACATTGTACTTTTATTGGACGCTGAGTTTTCAAATCCTTCTCTTTTCGTCGCCCCGATCATCTCAAGAACCACCATTCCATAACTATACACATCCGACTTATGCGAAACTCCTCCGTAGCTCTGAGTAAACACTTCAGGAGCAATGTACCCTACTGTCCCTCTTGCTCCTAACATTGATATGATACTATCATTTTTTTTGCAGAGCTTAGCAAGACCGAAATCCGAAATCTTGGGACAAAAATCTGCGTCCATGAGTATATTTTGTGGCTTTATATCGAAATGCACAATCTTGGACACACAACTATTGTGCAAGTACTCTAACCCATGAGCAACACCTAGCGCAATGTTGTATAAAGTTCTCCAGTCCATCTTCGTTGACATATCCTCGGAAATAAACTTGTCAAGAGATCCATTTGGCATGAACTCGTAAATTATAGCTCGCTTGCTTCCTTCATAGCAAAATCCAAACAGAGAAACGATATTGACATGAGATGCTATACTCATGCTAGCTAATTCGTTGATGAAATCATCTCCATCACCCTTTGCATCCTCTAAGATCTTTAGTGCAATATCGCGGCCACTGGCATCCAGTAATTTTCCCTTGTAGACAGTTCCAAATCCTCCTTTCCCGATAGCATGAGCGAATGAGTTTGTCATCTTCTTGACGTTTTTATAACTATATCGTTTCAACATTACAACCGCATCAACGTTCTCGTAGTTCGAATTTTTCTTATTCCTTGCTCTCACCATTACTACAGTCCCAACGATAATGATCATCAAGAAAAATAAAGCAGCTGAGCCACCTGGAAGAAGAAAAAAACAAGCAAAACTTAGGTGTTATATGCATGAGTGAGGAGGAGAAATGTGGTTGAAAACTTGCAATGAAGGTGGTACCGAGTATGGGTTTTAACTTCTGTTGAGAATTATCTGAAAATTTATCATACAAATAACATTATCATTTATCAGTAACACAAAAAGATGTATATATTGCATATTTTTTTGTTGAATGAAGAATAACAAAACTAAATCTTACGTTTTGGTCGTAATGGAGCCATCGAGCTTCTGCTGTTTCGCCGAGTAAGTAACATATATTATTAGTTAATCGCATTATACGTATATGATTTGTTTTTGTGTGTGTGTGTGTGTGTGTGAAAAATCATTTATTCAGCAATTTACATAGGTCGACTAAATAATTGGAACATTAGGTTAATTTGATAAACCATTGCAACATTTAATTTTTTTATTTAATGAACCATTTGTAGTTTTAGATTTATTTGGTTTACGGTTAGGTCTCTTTATGATACTTTAATTAATTATATATTTAATTTTTAATTACTATAATTTTATTAGTGAAAATAAACCAGATTGACACAAATTTGATAAAATAAAAAATTACTCAATTAAGTGATTTTATAACCATTTAATCGAACCATTGCAAAAATTTGAAAAAGTGATATTGGGATATAGTAAATTATACACACGCACGCCATAGTAGAATGATCTAATTTAATTTTATAATAAAACTATATTACATAAATTTCCAAATCAACTAATCCAATAATTTTTTTAATTGGTGGGTTTATAAAAGGTTCTTTGTTTTAGTCGAGTAATATCAAACTATTAGGCCACTTGTAGCCATCGATTGAAAAGTCTTATTTGGTTTTGCTAAAATATCATTTAATTTACACCACGCAGGACCGTACGTGCGTGTGAAATAACGAACCGTACGTGCTTGTGATGGAATTTACCTGGTGGTATTAGGAATCGAGGATGGACAAAACGTGACTACGAAGTCAGTTGAGTTAGGGCATATGACCTTGCTGCTATTATCATTGTAAAGGTAGCTATAGGCGGTTGGACAAACCCGCTCGAAGTTGAGTGTGTACTCTGTCGGTTTGCAATTTTGCCTTGATCTGAAGTCATTAAGGCAGCAAATCTCCTTGCTACGGTATTTCCGACACGCGCTTATGCAACCGACTTGGTTCCCCCCGTTGAACAACTTAAGATCATCTGGACACGTCTTGTTCAGATCAACCACACAACCAGAGCTGATACATGTCCCGCTACTATGTGACGGGACAACCATTACCGGAAGGTTGTAGCCGAACTCGAGACTGATGGTGTAGCTGCTGAATCCACTGTCATTGTTATTTAAGTAGACATAAGTCACGTCAGCCCAACTGTATGTGCCGGGACACTCCATCTTGCCGGATTTGCAGTCTCCTGTGGCGCACGTGAAACTTCCACTTGAGTTGGTTGAGCAGAGCGTCCGACCAGATATAAGACCGTTCCACGATGGCTGCGCCTGTAAGCTACGCGCCTCCCCGCTTCTGAGGGCGAAGCCGGTTGGGGAGATCGGTGACTTCCATGAGAAGATAACTGGCCAAACTGTGTAATCGCATTTATTCTCTATAGTAACTATACTCATTGACAATACTGATCCTGCGATCAAATTGAGAAGAATAAAAAAATTAGATATCAACAAAAGAAGAAAATAAACAGAGTTGAAGATATATCATTACCCGTTACGAACAAATGTATGGCGAGGAGAAAAATCAATGGCAATCTCTTCGCCATTAGCTTCAATAAAAACGAAAAAGATTGAAAGAATCACTTTTTATCATGTGAAGGAAAGGTTATGATTACTGACTTTGGTGATCGCAAGCCTACCAATTTCTAGATATCATTGGACGGAAGTTGTAGGCAAAAGCAAGGAGGGATGAGGATAAAATATCTATTATTGATGATAATGAAGTGTGTTGTTTTGTGGTTGAGTTGGACTGTTGGAGGATAGTTTCAGCAAGAATAAAAAAAAAAAAAAAAAAAAAATCTTTATGGGTCAACTTAATACAAAAGTATCTTGATGCATCAAGCTTTCCTTTTATCAAAAATGGATTGACTGGTCAAAAATGGCATTCGGTATTGTGATACAAGTTGCTTTTTGTAGGTATTATTGCGTTATCGAAAAATAAGGTGAACTTTTTCTACAAATACAGTTTATGTAGGCGATATCAATCTAGGTAGCTAGATGTGCCTTGTGCACTTAATCTTGGAGATTATTTTATAGATAGTACGTTGTAGAGGTTTTATCACAATTAATGGGCTCTTTATCCTTTAATTGATGCATAGATACATTATTTTTTTATAGTATTGAGGGATATTTATGCTGCTCCTTCCTGATCGATTTCAATATCGGCTAGCTAACCTGGCGCCATTTTGTTATACTGGTAATATCTCTCTGACTCTCTCTTATTAGTGTCTCTATTGTCGTATATTGAAAAGTCTGGATTCATGCAGTGCAAGTGGACGTAATATTAATTAAGTAGGTGGGAACACTGTTCATTCTCTTTATAATTCAAAAAGAAAGAAAGAAAAATACACATTGACTTAATTAAGAACATGAATCGTTGAAAGCATGTGATGTTTGACGTAATCAACCCCTAGCAAAATTATTGAAATAAAAAGCTCAGAGGGTATACTTGGTTTTGTCTGGATTAATTATAGGAAGGGCAAAACGTGATGACGTAGTCAGTAGAGTTTAGGCATGTAACGGTGCTATTATTATCATCATAGGCATAGATTTGAGCGAGTGGGCAAGCTCGCTCGAAGTTCCTAGTGTACACTGTCGGCTTGCAGTTTTGCTTTGACTTGAAGTCGAGGGTGCAACAAGTCTCCGGGGTATTAAATTCCTGACATGTGCTACTACAGCCAACTGGATTTTTTCCGGACATTATCATAAGATTTTTTGGACAAGTCTTGTTCAGTTCAACATCACAACCGGCGCTGATACATGTCCGGCTACGCTGTGAAGGGACAACCATGAGCGGAAGGTTGTAACCGTACTCAACACTGATGGTGTAGCTGTTGATGCCACCATCATCGATTCTAAAGTAGACATAAGTCACCGGAGCCCAACTGTATGAGCCGGGACACTCGATCTTTCCGGACTCGCAGTCTCCTGTGGCGCAAGAGAATTTACCTGTTGAGTCGGTGGAGCATAGCGTCCTACCCGAGATAAGACCGTACCATGAAGATGGCGCCTGTATGGCTCGCGCCTCGCCTCTTGTAAGACTGAAGCCTGTTGGGGAGACCTGTGAGTCTACGTTCCATGAGTATATAACTGGCCAAACTGTGTGATTGCACTTGTTCTCTATGGTAAGCGTACTCATAGTCATGGACAACACTCCTGCGAGAGCAACATTAAACTTAGAAAGAGAAACACAAATAACAAAAATATAGTTGTTATTGTTGTATATCAATCAAGAAAACAAATCTTACCCGATACTAACAAAAGAAAACCAAGGAGCAAAATCAGTGGCAACCTTTCCGCCATTACCTGAACGAAGAATATAAAGGTTCCAAAGAAGTGAGACTTTCGTGTTATATACTTATATATATTATCTTTGCTTCTTCCTCGTTGGTTAGTAGAAATGAGTATATTTCTTTGGTGACAAGAGTTAATAAGGTGTATATATAGAAGGAAGGAAATATTATAATATCCGAGTCATTATCTTCTTCTTTTTTTTGTTCCTTTTGATTCGGTCTTATTTTGATGATTGGGCCACTCACTAGCCTTTCGTTCTGTGTTCAAGTCCCACTGAAGATAACACTATCATATATATTGAAGAATGAAGACTATTAACACTTCCTCCAATTCTTACAAAGGCAACAACCAACTCTTTATCTTAGCATTCTAACATGGGTACGTAAAAGTTCTTTTGCTATGGACCAATATGTATCCTTCCATTTCATTGCGAATAACCCGCATAACATTAACACCAGACAATGATTACACCAGACAATGAAGTGGTGGTTCGTTTTGAGAAAAATAGTCACATAGAGATGAAAAGTTTGTCTATCCGTTTGTGAAGGACTTGATGATGCTATTTTTGGCTATCCATGTGTTACACTAGTTTCCAATTCTGAAGTCTTATCTTATTAAAATCTGTAGAAAAATAAAAAACTAAATGACAGCTGTGGGATTTGAACCCACGCCCTTTCGGACCAGAGCCTAAATCTGGCGCCTTAGACCACTCGGCCAAACTGTCCTTTACTTTAATATCATGATTAGCTGTTTATATATTCTTAGTAAACGATTAAGCACAAGTATGAAATTTTCAACCAGTGGGAATTGTGAAGTACTTATCTATGTGTAAGTGGATATAACAACTACTAGAGAGTTTATAGGCATTGTCTATATATTGGTGATGTAAAATCTGTTGATTAACCCAACTTAACAACCCACAGTACATATATCTCTTTAAGAGCGTATAATTACAGCTTCATCCCTTAAGAAGTGTCGGGGATTTTCGACAATGGCTTATGTCTTTTAGTTGCAGCCATATCAGGTTGGGTGGACACAACTCAGTCATTGTCTTCTCCGCAGTCAGGCCAAAACTCAAAATCCAAAAGCTTGGCGAAGTGAAAAAATCGAAATTCAAGTCTTTTGCTCTTCTGCTTGTTGTTGTTGTTGTTGAGCCTTTAGTTTCTCGAGCTGCTTCCGTAGATAAGCTTGTTTGAGTTTCTCCCGACGATTTGTTGCCTGCTCTTGTCTCTTTTGCTTCAACTCAGTTGCCTTTTCTCTCGCTTGATTCACTTCCTCATGAACCTCCCTACACAACATTTTTCCCATGAACAATAGAGACAATCAGAGAGAGATAGATTGATTCACTTCCTAAAAGGCTAAAACAGAGTAAAAAATCTATAGCAATGGACTTGTTTTCTTCTTTCTATGAGCTATGATGAAACAAATAATTAACAGAGAGAGGAAATAGAAATGAAATTACCTGACCATGCGCACATGTTGACCTACATCAGTTGTCCCAATTGCGCGTCCAAGTCCAGCAAATTTGGTGCTAAACAGCGAACCATCATCTTCACCCTCTCGTTTTAAATCTTCAGGTGGTGCTGAAATGGAACTGCTGTAAGTGCTTGATGGTTTTGGATCTTCATGTTCATTGCCTTTCCTGAAGAAATCAACACAGTACTTCTCTTCGCCTTCTTCATCAGATAGCTCTCCTCTAACAAGTTTGTCATACAACTGAGCCTTTTTCTCCAATGCGGCATAACTAACTGCTCCGTCTTTTACCGCTTTATGTTCAATCTTGTCCCTTCAATTACAAACATACAAAAAGCACTGTCGTATATAAGAACAAACTCAAGTAACATCACATAGTTCAGCAGCAAAATAAGTCCTCATGAAAAGCTAAATTTGATTCTGAGTCATAACAAAACGCTCAAACTAATGAAGATGGTTATGAAGCAGCCAATTTGAGATTCTTCTACAGCATAACATAATCCTGTAGTTTTTGCTTAATCGACATCCAATTTTAGACCAAAGATTCTAAGCTTGATTACTAGTACCTTATCTTAATCAGAATGGTAGACAAAGTAAGTAAAGATCAAAACCCTAATCCCCAAATCATCTCGTTTCCAAATGCAGAAGAAATCATATAACCCAACCAATTCAAAGTTCTTCTACAACATCACCCTAATCCCAAGTTAGATTCTTCTTTGCTTAGTCTACGTTCAAGTTCAGATCAATCATCCTACTTAAACCAAATAAGTATCCAATCTTAATCTATAGAATAGAAACAATAAGGGAATATCAAACCCTAATTCCCAAATCTTCTCGTTTCACCAAATTGACAGCAATAACAAAAACAAAATGAAAAATTCAAAGTTCGATAAATCTCCGACTTACTTGAGATTGCGACTCTCGACGCCGGAGTTTTTAGCGGAGAAAGAATCTTTCGCAGCAATCCTTTCCTTGGCGCGATGGTAATGAGCATCGGATCCGTTCAAATCCTTTGTCAGTTTAGCTTCTTCCTGAGAATTATAAAGCTGAGCTTTAAGCTCCATGATCGAAGAAGGACCTACACCTTCGATGGCTCGATGCTTCTTTGGCATAATCGAAGATTCCGTTAACCATCCCAGCGATTCAGTGACCCTCTTATTTGTCTCCTCTTCACCTCCCATCTTCTTCATCTTCTTTTTCTTCTTCTTCTCTCTAAATCTCAAAAATGCAGAGCTTTGAATCTTTCTGGTTCGTTTTGTCCTCAAATATAGTTTTACACTTACTTCTCTTTATTGAATTTGGGCCTGTCTTCATTTGACTAGGCCCAAACATTAAAACCCACGTCATAAACCACTCGCTAGTGGAGGTTTTTGATTGACGTCACCTCTTCAAAATTTGTAGACTCATTTGTTTATGTTGTTTGTAACTCTATAGTCTATACCAAACAAATTTTATCATTCTTTCATGAACTATTAAAATACTATATACGGAATATAATTACAAATAAAAACACTACCAAAAAAAAAAAACCAAAAAAGAAGAATATTTAGATCACTTCCAAAAAAAAAAATAGAACAAAATCCTTATATAATTGACCTTTCACACCAGTCAAATCAATTTAAACAGATTCACAAGTGCATTACTTTTGCGACAAGGCTGAGGAGCCATAACCTTTGGTTCTTGATGGTCATTTCTTGTTACCACTTGGATGATTTGGTCATTACTTGCATTTGTGTTATTATTATGATGATCCAATTCATCAAGAGCAACTCTTTGCTTTTGAAAATGTTCCCATTTGTCTTGAAATAGATAGAAGAAGACAAGACAAAAGATTTGAGCTGAGAACAAGATTGTCCAAAGGCTCGAGTCTCTACTTGATGATGTCTTCGTTTGATAAGCTCTTATGCCGGTGTATATGTTTATTATGCCAGCTAGTGACACTGTTGTTCCAAGAATCCAATGTAATAAGAACCATTTCAACCTCTTTTTGCTCCCTCTACAATATAGCCAAAAGAAACGCCATAAGTGTGAGACATATATATGTTTACAAAAAAGATGTATATTTAGTTATGTACGTGTACATGTAAACGTACCTAGAGGGCTTGAATACACCAGTCAGGAATTGGAGCCACATGGCAGCATAAAGAGCCAAGCCAAGTCTTTGATGGTTGTTGTCGAAAGAGTTCTCCAATGTTCTCAAGGACATTATAGCTCCTATTGTTGCTAAAACCACTGCCATTATCTGCTCATTTAAAAAATATAATAAGTATTTTGATTTGTCTATTTTATGTGTATATTTATTGATTTGATTACTACACATCGATTTTGAGTATGTGTGTAAGAGTGTAATTATAGTGTGTCCTTAGTTTCTTTCCCTTAACATTCAAGAAATCATGATCAAAGGCTCATCAAAGCTATGTAGAAGATTCAAGAAGCAATTCCCTTATAAGCTATCTATTTTGAAATTAATTTCAATGCATATATATATATCTAGCTGTTAAAATTGAAAGAAAAAAATCTAAAACTATGAGTGCTTCTTGTTTTTCAAACATATATATTTTCCCTTAAATAGTATATTTGACATTATATTTAAAGTGGAGAAAATGATTAAAGTGAGATCACTGAGATGTCATCATGAGTTTGGAACTAAGATCAATTTGCATTTGTAAAATACTTTATCATAATTCAGTATTTGAGAATAATACAAATTCTCAAAAACATATACACGTACCGTTTACATTATTAGATGTACTTATGGAGTAGCTAATAATTAATAGTTAAATTACCTGGAAAATGACATGAAGATAGAAGAACACTTTAAGCTTTCTTCCATTTTCACTAGCTTTATTGGCCATTCTAACGAAGAGAATCCCCATTGGCATAAGAAATCCCATTGAAACCCATAAGAGAATGCCATGAAGCTTTATGCTATTTATCATTTGATGACTCATCTGCCATATATAATAGTAGTAAATATCATTAAAATGTTATATTGTGTAATATATAAGAGACAAAAAAAAAAAAAGAGAGAGGGTGATATATGAGTTTTTATAACTAAGAAAACAAGAACCATTTAAAAACTCAAAAAAAAAAAAAAAAAAAAATACCTTGTCATGTAGGGATCCTTTATTCTTTAGATTACTTGGTGAATGGTCATCAATGGTGACATCAAGAGATGAACAGATGACAAATGGTGAATCAGAAGAAAGATAGAAGAGTATAGAAATTAAAACCTTCCGGAGAGATTTAGAAATTTTCATTCTGTTCTCAATCTTAATTAACAGCTGAAAAGAATATCAAATCACAAAAACCACTCTCTAAGTTTTTCCTTTATCTCTCTCCTTCTCTCTGAATCAGTTCATCAATCTATGAAAATTTGACCAAGACTCAATAAATATATATACACATGCATAAAAAAAGATGAGTACATGTATATGACTGTGTAAAGGAATGAATATGTGAGATGGAAGAGGGAGAAAGACAAATAGAGAGGAGGATGCATGTGATGGGTGGTGGCAAAAGAGGCTTTTAATGGAATGCTTTGAGGACTTAGTTAAATAAATGATATTCAATGTGATCATGGAGGGATGGGCCAAATTCAATATGATCATTGTAATGTTAATTTTCCTTGATGTTATAAATTCAATCACCAAATCCAAGATACCATCCAACATAATCATTATCATTATATAACAAGTCAAAAAGGGTTTTAAGAAAAAAGCAAATAAAGATTATATACTTAGGGAATTTCGATTTAATTGCATATCTAGTAGCTTCATGTAATTGTATCGTGATCACATCCTTGTTCTTCTTGATAAGTATATACATGCAACCACATATGTGCGTGTCTGTGTGTGTATATGCTCATGTGTGAGATTTTGGACTTTAAGTGTTACCAAAGGAATTAAATAAGTAATAATATTAGCTTTTCAATTTGGTCCCATAAGCAATCAAATAATTCAGTACTTGTTCTTGGCTCAAATGATGTAATTTACGCTTAATATGCTCACTACTACATTAACAGGCTTCTTTGCAAATTGTCTTGTTACCAAACTATCAGTGGGTAAAATATAGCATGAGAGACGTTCATTAATCTCTTATGACTGTAATGTTTACATCATTGAGCTACTATATGATTATGATATGAATGTGCATTAATTATGTTAAATTACTAAACTGACAACTTTTAGTTATTACTAAATTTTATATGTTCTTTTATTAAAAAGAAAAAATATTCATGTATGTATTTGTCTGTTGACTGTTCCAAATTTTTTAAAGTTTAGTATGAATTTTAGACAGATTAAGGTTCGTAAGTGGTAATCTATGTCATATCTCGAGAATTGCGAAGATTACCTAACAGCAAATTCTTTTTATTAATCCGCATTATCTTTTCATGTCTCGCGGTGACTTTACGATGATTACAAATGCATGGGTAAATAAAAGTCTCTAGGTTCATCGACTAAAACACTAATTAACAAACTATATATAAATCTGACATCTAATGAAAGTTTTGGTAAGCGGTCCATTCATATTTACTTTTTCACCTTTACCTCTTTTCTCTTTGTCATTCACTTTGTTATCAAAGTAGTCTTCAATGACAAAAGTATTACAACTAAATCTAATTACTAACAATTTCTTGATCATTTCGAAGTCCATTCAAATATTATTGTTTCTTTAAAATATATCAAAAAAAAAAAAAACTTAGCATCGTTTTGTTTGTTAAAGCATCAAGTTGGTAAGAGTAAAAAAAAACATTCATTCATAATATTAAAAGGTATGGGAGATAATTTCTTTTTATAAATGGTTATAGGGACTTTGTAACCAAAAATAAAATGAAGTAGTCTAGTTACTATCATAAATATTACATTGTTTAAGGAACTTAGGAGAACAAAAATTTTGTTGAGGAAGCAATAAGAAAAATGAAGCTTATGCAGAAATAAGAAAGAGTAAAGAGGATATAACGTATGCCATTGTTACATTTTATTTTATTTTTGGTCAAAACCATTGTTACTAAGCTCTTGTTTTTGTTATACGATTTGAAAACATAATAGATGAGAACATGATATTACATGGTATCAAATAAGAGATTTCGATACAAAAACTAGAAAAACTAAGCAAGAAGAGAGATGCAAATAAAGATATACATGATTCCATAGTTTAGTATCTTTGGTGGTAGCAGACGATAAACTACAATTAAAAAGGAAAAGAACAGGAACCTAACCACAGTGAAAAGAAAACTTATCTTATTATATAAAATTGTATGTAATATTTCTAAAAAGCCAAATACAGAAACTTTTTAATATAATATTATTACATAATAACTTATTACAATATAAAACTGTATGTAATATTTCTATCATAAATGTGTATTAAGAATATAGTAGTATAACAGAGAAACCCTAAAAACTGTTCTGTTTTATATTAAAGATTTTGACCCAAGAAAAAACAGAGAAACCCTAAAAAAAAAAACTTCCAATGTTGGCCGAAGATCTAGAGAAGCTGGTCGAGCCTCTCACCGCCGAAACCCTCCCTAATCTTCTCGACGTCTGTAATAAACATTCTGATTTGGCAGCTTCATTCCTCACTAGAATCATCGGTCAGGTCCTTAAACTACTGGATGATACTGAGTCCAGCCTCACATGTCAAGATGCCATTGGTTCTTTGGCTGGCATTTATCTGAAAGAAGGTTCCAGTGCCGGTTCAGCCTCATCGTTGGTGGCTCTGTTTTTGGAGCCGTTGTTGGATGCAATGGGAGAGGAGAACATTGATGTACAATCTGGTGCAGCAATGTGTTTGGCTAGGATGGTGGATGCAGGAGCCGGCCCTTTGATTACTTCCTTCACATCGTTTTTTCCTAGGATCAACAAGCTGTTGACCAGCTCCAAATTCTTTGCTATTGGTTCCCTTTCTCCTGTTGTTACACGTTTGTCTCAGGTTTGTGTATTGAAGAAACTTTACTGGCTCAATTAGTTGTCTTTGCAGGAAGAATTTTTTTTATCTAAAATTGGTTGTCTACTTTACATCACAGCACCTTCCTAAGGTCAAGTGGGGAGAACCAAAGCCTGCTAAGGCAGAGTGGATAAAAAGCTTTTTGAAGATGCATGAAGTGGATGAAGCTATAATAGAAGCTGTTCTGTCCCAAACGCCATATAGCCGTATCGACAGAAAAATGTGTGCACCTAATAATGAAATCTTCCTGCAGTGGGACGTTCAAGAGACAAAACCAGAAGAAGATGCTGTCACTGAAACTTGGGATTGGAAACTTGCAGCTGGTATTGTTAGAAACCAATTAGATCACGGTAAGATAATTTTCTGAAATTTTCTTAATCTTGTTTTATATTAAATAGACATGTGTATTGATATTTTTTCCAACTTTAATGTGTCTCTCCTAGACAATTGTCCTGACGATGCAGAATATAGCTGCGTCTCCCAACGACGAGATCGGTGTCCTTCGCAGCTAGACAAGATTCCTAAAGAGTTGGAGGTGATTGAGTCTAATGATTTGAAAGATTTGTACAGAATGTTGCGCACACAGCCCGTTACAGCCAATGTCCATTTCTTCAGTCCGGAATTGGATGACATTGGCTCGGTAAGTGATTCTATCTATTGATTCTGTTTTTTTTTTTAATTCTTTCCCTAATCTAGACCTATATTTTTGGTTCTGCACCTTGCAGGGAATATATGTTGGCTGTTCCTGTAATGGGTCAGAATACATGGGATTACGCTCTATCATCGTCGTCGCGATTACTAGAGAGAGGAATAAGCTCGTGGCTGTTGTAAAGTCCAGCCACGGGACAACAAATGGCGTTTTCCGTTACATGTTTGTTTCTCTGACTCGGATGCTAGTTGGTGTCGGATACCGTGGAACCAAAGGTATTCGTGGTATTCGTGGTCTCCGCAAACTTGTTAAAGTAAAGTCTCCATCCTACCTTCTCAGAGATTTCACGTATCTCGAAATGCCGCTAAAATCAGGTTTTCTATCAAGTTCCATCACTGTTTCATTTTCTCTTCTCTTTGCTGGCTGTGAAGAAAGCTTAGATTCGTACAGATTGGAGGGCTACGTGAGAGTGTTCTGATATTTTCCTTGCGAGAGTCTGACAATGTTGTTTGTTTGTTTTGGTGTGAGATAGAGAGTGAGAAAAGCAAAAGGAAGAAAAGAAAGGTTATGGACTGCAAGTGAACGCCTGCTCTTGGCTCTTCTGGAGGAGGAGGTGATGACCAAAAGTGAAGAACTCTCGACACCAACTCTATCTCTCTGAACTCTAAACTCTCTGAACTCTATCTCTCTAAACTCTCTCTATCTCTCGGGTCTGTCTAAAACGTAAAAACTTATGGATATGTAATAGACAAAACAAAAAAAATTCATTCTGCTCTCAGTCTCAACAGCTGAAAAGAATATCAAATCACAAAATGACTGAATCAGTTCATCCATCTATGAAAATTTGACCAAGACTCATAGAATATATATACACATGCATTAAAAAAAATATGAGTACATGTATATGACTGTGTAAAGGAATGAATATGTGAGATGGAAGAGGGAGAGAGACAAATAGAAAGGAGGATGCATGTGATGGGTGGTGCAAAAGAGGCTTTTAATGGAATGCTTTGAGGACTTAGTTAAATAAATTATATTCAATGTGATCATGGAGGGATGGGCCAAATTTCAAAATTATAATGTTAATTTTCCATGATGTTATAAATTCAATCACCAAATCCAAGATACCATCCAACATAATCATGGTCATTATATAACTAGTCAAAAGGGTTTTAAGAAAAAATAAGTAAAATATTATATGCTTAGGGATTTTCAATTTAATTGCATATCTAATATCTTCATGTAATTGAATCATGATCACATCCATGTTCTTCTTGATAAGTAAATACATGCACCACACATATGTGCGTGTATATATGCTCATGTGTGAGATTTGGACTTTAATTATGTGTTACCAAAGGAATTAAATAACTACTAGTTTTTCAATTTGGTCCCATAAGCAACCAAATAACCCACTCGTTCTTGGCTCTAGTGATGTAATTTACGCTTAATATGCTCATAGATAGATTAATAGGGCTTCTTTGCAAAATGTCTTGTAACCAGACTATCAGTGGATAATATATAGAATGAGAGAGTTCATTAATCTCTTTATGACTGTAATGATCACATCATTGAGCTACTATATATATGATTATATATGATATGAATGTGTAGATTATTATGTTAAATTACTAAATTAGTAAATTGACAACTTTTAATTATTACTAATTTTTTATGTTCTTTTCTATAAAAAAAACCATTTGCATGTATGTATTTGTCTGTTCACTGTTCCAAATATTTTAAGTCTAGAATGAATTTTAGACAGGTTAATTGTAAGTGATAATCTCTGTCATATCTCGAGAATTGCGAAGATTACCTAACAACAATTTTCCTTTTTATAAATCTGTATTATCTTTTCATGTCTCTTTTTTTTTTTTGTTAAACATTATCTTTTCATGTCTCATGGTGACTTAACGATCATCGAAATGATTACAAATGCATGGATAAGAAAAAGTCTCTAATTCCATCGACTAAAACACTAACAAACTATATATAAATCTTACACCTAATGAAATTTTGGTAAGCAGTCCATTCATATCTACTTTTTCCCCTTTAACTCTTTTCTCTTTGTAATTCTCTTTGTTATCAAAGTAGTCTTTTCAATGACAAAAATCTTACAATTATAAGTCTTGATCATTTCGAAGTCCTTCTAAAAATTATTGTTTCTTTAGAATATAGCAAAACTTAGCATCGTTTTGTTTGTTAAAGTATCAAGTTGGTAAGAGTAACATAAAGAACATTCATAATATTAAAATGTATGGGAGATAATTTCTTTATATAAATAGTTATAGGGATTTTTGAACCAAAAATAAAATGAAGTAAGCAGTCACTATTATAAATATTACATTGTTTAAAGAAATTATGAGAACAAAAATTGGGTTGAGAGGAAGCAAAAAGAAATGAAGCTTATGCAGAAATAAGACCTATGTAAGCTGCTGAAAGAGAGAGTAAAGAGGATATAACGTATGCCATTGTTACTATCATTGGCTCCTTCAAACCACTGAGTCTAAGGTGATGATGAAATGGTACAGTCTTGAAAATCCGACGCCCTTTTCCCTTTAAGCGCTTAGTCGCCGAGTAATACACGACCTGCGAGCCAGGAACAAATTAATCTATCATCAGCAGCTGCGATTGTGATTAAAGAAAGAGAAGCACTTAGTAAGTCTATTCTGTTCTTTACCTGAATAATAACAGAAGAAGCTTCTAAAATTGCGACACCAGATGATATGAACAATGGAAAGAACATTCCTGAGCAAGCAGCCATTGCAGCCAAAGCTCCACCAAGAGCCAATGATCCTGTATCCCCCATGGAAACCGATGCTCTGTATCGATTGTGAAGTAGAAACCCAAAACAAGCTCCAGCCATCGAAGCTCCAAATACAGAAAGATCTGATCTCAAATTACAATTACAAGATTAAGAGTAGTGAGCCACAACAACCATCTTCACTTGGTATGCAATACCTTTCCAGATTTGTGAATCTTCTTAAGGTGAAAGTAAATGATTTTTTTTCTTTTTTGTAGTATAATCATTTGGGACTAACCAGAGCAAATTGGAAGAACCGCTATTGCCATTGCAACGAACGCCAAGGCAGCAATACCTCCTGCCAGTCCATCAAGACCATCGGTTGCTTTGACTAAGTTTCCCATAGAAACGAAGTAAAAAGATGTCAACAATAGGTAAAGTTTTCCCAAGCAAACGAGACCTAATGGTGAAGGCAAAGGAATCAACATTTTCCTGGAAAAATGTACAGAATCAAGAAGACGTTATATAAACTTCTGAATGACCCATTTTTTCAGGCTTTGAGAGAACTCTAGAAAGCTAATTTGCGGATTGGTTTGCACATAATCATGTAAATTACTTATTCTCATGTACATTCATATGAAAGTAGATACGCGAGTTACCGTCATATATGCGTTGTTCAGATTAGTTATAAGAGGCTATACATGCCATAAGGAGATGATATGCTTGCAGTCTCCAACCACAATGCAAAGCAAGTCCCAACCGCTCCCTGTGATGCATGCAGATGGGATCAAGTTAAGAGGATGGAGAAGCTTTGAAGCATAAGACAGAGAGGAAACTTTAGTTACTTAAATACCTCCAAAAGAAGTTGTACTTTAGCAGGCAAACCAATGTTATTCTCACTATAGAGGCTTAAGGAGTCATCAACTAGCCCAATCATTGCAAATGCTACAGTTGCAGCTGCTGCTCCACAGACTTCGATGGACGAAAATTTAGTCAAGGCTATTGCAACAGCAACACCAATTGGAACAAAAAACAACCCACCCATTGTCGGGATTGTTGGTCTACGGTTATGTGGAACTGGCCCTAGCGTCCTAATTGGCTCATGCACTTTCAATCTGTCTACAAGCGGGACAAAAATATAACCGGCTAAGGTGACTAAAACCGCTGATATGAAGAAAGGCAGGCTTAAGAAATATGGAGGCAAAGGCAGTCTAACAATCTTCCAAGCAAAAGAGTCCATCAATATAAGCAGCAGTGACAAAAAAGCCAAAAGCCCCAAATTAATCCCATATCTGATTCTGCATAAGACGAAACAACGCAATGTCAAAACATTGTAAGTTCACAAGAGAACACTTTGCTATGACATCCACTAGAAAGAATCTCTAAAGTGAACAAATCACCAGAGCCTAAGTTCATTCACTTGATACTACACACACACATTCTAGTGAATTCAATCCCCACTCCAAATGGATCAATGGAAACAGACATATCGGTAGAGGGGATTCAATGGATAGTAGCAGTAAACGATGTGTCATGGCTTAAAAATCTGAAACAAGGAAACGTGCCTGTGCTTTTTGCGACCTCTTGGAAACTTTCCAAGCTTTTGTGCAGTTGTTTCAGTAACTACATTCAACGCGTAATCCCCATCGCTCTCTTCGCCTTCACTCGACGAAATCGAATATGTAGCAGTGAATATGTCAATGTCACCAGAGTAAAAATCAAATGAATCCTATTAAGAAAAAACAAAGAACAGGGGAAGTCTCAACTTTGATACAAGACATAGTAGTAGTCAAAAACCATATCTGTGAAAGAAGAAAACTCTAGGATTTTACAAAATTACATCATCAAATGCTCTAACTGAGACAGAGCTATGTCTCATGCTATTGCTACATCCATGTCTCTGCAAGCTCGCTGCAATGAACTGCATAAAATAGCAGAAGCGATCAAACATGTCAAATACAAAATCAAATTGGGCATCTCTTAATCACGAGTTCAAAGATTCAATATTTGATAAAGATACAGAACGCTATGGCCATATCAATCAATCAATCAATACATGTACCGTACCTTGTAGGAAGAGGGAGATCCAGATTCGACGCGAGGACGTGTAACTGAGAGAGGAGGAATTGATTCGAGAGATCGAAACGGATTTGGATGATGGAATCGGTAAGAAGTCGGAGTTATCAAGGAGAATCTCATTGCATCGCTCAGAGTCAGAGAGATACTACTGTTACGAAAGGTGGGTAATTGAAATTAGTGAGAGAAGAAGAAGAAGAAGAAATGTGGCAAAACGTAAATGGCGTCGTTGTTGAACAACACAAGAAGAAGAAGAAACGATTTGGGTTCAAGTCTTTGGTTCTCTATGATTGGTGTGACTCAATAACCTTTTCCAAATGTTTGATTTCAGATGTTTTTTTGTTTTTTGTATTTTGTTTAGGTCGGCAAATGTATTATTAGAGGCTACTATTGTAAATTCCATGCTAGTTCGGTTACTATGGTTTGGGTTTATGTATATTTTTGGTTTGATTCGGTTTTATTTTCGTATAATTTTGGTTTAGTATTCGGGTCAAATTTCTGCCGACCCGACCCAATTGTTAAACCGACTTTGAATCGAAAACTTAGATAGTCAGGATTGTTTTGGTTCGGACCGATCAGTTTGGACTAAGACCGCATGCCTAGCTTAACAAAACTGATGAAGGTTTGAATTGAGGACAATTGAACCGGTTAGGGATGCTATAGCTATATGATGGAGACTTAATATACATGCAACGCAGAAAATTAACACCAACTGATGAGAAAATATACAAGCAACTTGATATGTTGTTTGTTTTTAGTATTTCAAATTTCTCCATACACAATTATCAAGTGTATGAATAATGCTTCTTAGACGGTATGTTAGTTTATGTGATGCATATTGAAGTTACTAACATGTCATGTCATCTATTTACGACGGTATATAGACCTCTTTACCTAAACATATGGATCATAATTATGATTTATTGTCTAGGTGCATCTTTAACTCCATATAGATATTTCTTTAGTTAGTTGTTACATCCAACTATTTTGAGTTCTATTAATGGAAGTATATAAGGTTGATATAGACATGTTTCAGAACATGGGGAAAATATCTCATTAATTATAATCAATTCCTTTAAACTTGAAAACGCTTTTTAGCCACTAACTTATTTTTCAAATCTAGGTGCTTCGATCTACACTAGAAGGAGCTAATGGTTTCCTCTCGGAGAATATATGGAAAATGCATATTATATAGAATTCTTAAAATCTTTCTTTAAAAACTATATCAAGAAAGCATATATCATAGTCACATGACCCCCAAGAAACACATGAACAAAAAGTCTTCGAGGTAGGAATTATCTTAACTGCCAACAACATCATTCAATTACTCTATCAGTCTCAGTGGATCATCTCTAGATTGATCGCGACATCTATTTTTATAGAATGTGAGCTTAGCTGCCATTTGTCAACAAGTCACGAGAAATGTTTCCTTTCAAGTTGTATAATTATTTTTTCAACATAAACTGATCAGAAGAATACTCATTAAAGACTACCAAAGCATAAACGCATAGAAACGATTTCTCGAAAACATTACGTTACATAAGTTATACGGGAACCGTTTCACATATACTATAACATTGTTATGACATTTTACCATTGAAATAATGATATGAAGAATAGATATTAGTTTGACCCAAATAAGGAAAGAGAACAAAAAATAATAATATTCAAAGAGTTAGTGGAAGTAATAACAAAAATAGCACAAAGCATGAGTGGTGTGACTCATTACTATATAAGCCTCTTATTTAGAAAAAGATATCACAGTAACCGACATTTTAATTCTAACCCTAAAATCGGATTCTCACATGTCTGAAAAGAGAGACATCTCACGGATGTCACTAACTTCATCTCCTTTTTGCTTATAAGTTTTTTTTTATTTTCTTTTCTGCATTTTCTTATAGATTTTTTTCACATAGTAATAATAGTTGTAAGACGTGTCTAACGCGTGTTCTTGTGTTATTGCGTATATAAATAAAGTCCTAACGGGATTAGCCACAGAGAAAGAGCTAAAACTGATATTTTACTTTCATGAGGAAAATGAAGGGTGAGTTCAATGCTTTGATGGCAATAATGTCTCTACTCTTAGCCTTCTCGTTTGTCCATGGAGGAGGAGAGTCTGGACCACCTGCTAATGTAGCCGCTACACCTAGTAGTCCAACCGGAGGTTCTAGTGGTTCAAGCGGCTCGGCTCATGGACCTAATTGGGGATACAGTTGGGGATGGGGTTCAACTCCAGGAGGTGGTTATGGCTATGGTTCTGGTTCTGGTTCGTCACCAGAAGGAGGAGGAAAAGGGGGTGGATTCGGGTTTGGTTCGGGTTCGGGTTCAGGAACTGGATTTGGGTCTGGCTCCGGAGGAGGAGGAGCCATAGACGGTGGTTCTGGCCAAGGAAGTGGGACTGGTTACGCTGGCGAAGGTGGTGGCTCAGGCGGTGGGAATGGTGGTGGATCACCAGGTCGTAGAGAGAGGAGCCAACACCGTTAAAAGAAGCTTTCTTGATATATTACCTTAACACCATCATACGTGATACATGCATAATATGATCATAAGACTAGAAGAAGGAAAAAGAGATATTAGCAGCTTACTTAATTAATGCATAAATAAGGATCAAAAGAATAAGTAGGTGGGCTTTAATTACCGCTGTACGTACTTTGTATTATAACTAAACCTATAATATATTGTGTTCTTGCGCCAAACCTAGTATGTTCAAATTTAATACTTGACGATGATGATCATATTACAAATAGTGAAAATAAAATGTAATTCTAAAAATGGCATATTATATATTATTTATGGTAAATAATTATTCAAACTTCAAAGTCGTATGTAAGTGAAGATTTAGAATTAGACGGAAGAAAAAGGAAAGCTGGTTGGTCGATTCAATTCCATTACATTTCCATCCATGGTCCATCTAACAACAAATAAAACCAAATTGGTTTAAGCCCATAATTCTGGGCCCAATAAATGGAGTAGATACATTTCGACTTGGAGAGAGATTTAGCTTGAACTAGTATTCGTATGATGTGGAGAGTTTGAGTCTTGGCTGATCGGTTTGATTGAAAATGAAAAGAATGCATCAGTTGGTGTATTGTGCTACAAAGTTGTAAAATAGAAGTAAAGTATCGAACATTTTGGTAAGATTGGTCCTTAGTCCAATGTCCAATTCGCGAGGCCCATTTCATTTTTTCTTCGCCACAACATCAACGGTCACAACATATACATAAATATACTATATCAAACACAACTTTCACCGACCCTTTTAATTCTATTTTTTTTTGCCTCTACATTTATTTTTCTTTTTGGCTAATACTAGAAGTGATAAGAACTATACACCTACTATATTAAAACTATTCACCGAAAAGATTGATCAGAGAAGACGAGTGATGATAGAGAAGAACACCTTTCATCAATGTGAAACAGTTGTTACAAAACTATTAACGTTAACGATCTAACTAATTAGCTTATATATGCTAATTAGTGTTTACAATATTGAACCAACATTTAAACCGAAAATCTATTCTGAAATCAATAACCAGAATAAACCAAGTACCAAGTATCCTAATATACTATATTTTTTTTCTCAGTTTACAAAAACAACTGAGTTCAAGTTAGTGGTAACGATCAAATAAAACTCGCAATTGAAGCGTGTATCTATGGCTATACCAAGTGAATATGCGAACCAAGTAGTGAGGTAAGACTTCATGGATGGAGAGTTATGTTGTTATCTCCACTAGTATATTGATTAGGGTAGAGAATATAAGCAACTAAGCAAGTAAAAGCGTACACGTCTGCGGATTAGATGTATTCAGTCTCTTGAAGAATTATTTAGGGTTCGTAAAAACTGGTTTGAGTTTGATTGATAATAACAAACTAAATGTAAAAACTTATTCGAAAGATTGAAAAAAACTTTAAATTGCGTTTTTTATGTGGGTCAAGCAAATATTTACCCTTTCGTAATGCAGTCAAGCAAAAATTAGCTTTCATTAATGAACATATGACTTTTTGAGGAATTTGAATATGTAAGATCCCATTTTGTTTTTTGTTATACGTAAGATCCCATTTCAAGCAAATGGACTACTAACTAGGCACATATATTCACTCTAGCCAGGGCCTAGGCAGGCTGGGGAGAAAAATAATTGGTCGAAACTTAAAAGGAAAAAACACTTAATAAAAAAAGAAAAGAAAAAAGAAGAATAGAAGATACTTATAGAACAGTGGGCTTTTGAGGATTTGTGTAGTTGGAGTTGACAACCAAAAGAAGGATTTGCAGTTGGAGAAATGACAATGAATCTTTGTTTTTGTCTGCAAAACCATTTGTGAAGAAACAGACAAAAACACACTAGCTATATAGCTTTTAGTGATTGCGTGTTTACTATGTTTTGATTGATTTGTGGGATAAATTCTCTTACAATCATCATCATGCAAAAAATGATAGTATTAGCTAAAATAAAAAACAAAGCTATAGTAGTTAAATTTATGACAATGATTAAATATTGGACTAACATCATTTTAGTTAATTAGCTACATATTTACCAAATTTAAGTAACTTGTTAAACCATGCGAACAAACATTAACGTTTCAATGTTATGTCAATACTTGTTGATCACTTACGACTAGATTATTTGTAATGCATAAGTCACATGACATGAAAATTCCATAATTAGTCTATGGTTTAAACTATGAAACTTAATTATTCCATTCGTCTGAACCCTCATCATAATTTTACCCTTTTACACAAAAATGAGGTTATCAAGTTTGGGAGGTTGGAGACAGAAGATGGAAACAGTAATGATGGATGCAATCGAACACTTTGGTCCCCTTCAAAACTTGGATACACACCATTTTGCAATCACATGGCTCTATATATTTATCTCTATATCTCTGAAAAATATTACTATTTAATTTAATTTACACACTTTTGTAAACCCATATTTGATGAAAAATGTAATCGCAAAATATATATAATAATCGTAAAATCATAAATCATATATACATAATAGCTAAAGATTATTTGTTTGTTTCATACCGACAATTAAATTACAATGCCATACAAACAAAATTATGTGTGATCATGAGATCACCATTTTGAGTTTGTCGATCCATTTCATATAATCTCAAGAATTTGACGCACCAACACCACTTCGCATTCACATGAGCTCCCATTGTGTTCTCTAAGAATCAAACCGATCACATGTTTAATTGATATGACTTACGAAAAGAAAAAAAATTAACATAGAAACGAACGAGTCGTCAAGCATGTCATCATTCGACAATTACATGCGCATGAGTCTTATCAAGTACCGCACATGTATATTAAAATCATTATTGCTTAGAAAGTACAACTTAATCAGTTTTGTCCTAGTTTATATGTAGATGCAGTTTAGGAAGTACAACTTAATCAGTTCTACCCAAAATATAATTAATTGATATTGTCCGAACCCAAACAACTTTAATAGGTGCGCCTAGCTACTGAAAACAACAATTACGTACGTTGATTAATACTTATGAATGTCTACGAGAAACGGCCCGATGCATTATAGCCATAAGTTTCAATTCAAATAAAAATCCTACTCTTACGTACACGTGCTAAAATTAAAAAGGAGAGGATTGGATAATGAGTTCATATTTGGACACCACTAGCTGCTATAGCCAACAATGTGGAACAATAAGGGAAAGTTAAATTTGCCTCATTGAAAAAGTAAGTGTTGTTTCTAATGAATTGGCCACACAATTTCTTAAAAGAAAATAACAGCATAAAATAAAGGGCATACTCAATTATATAATAAGAAGCATTTGCAACTGCAACTTCATTTCGCTATCTTGAGATTCAATTGGCTGAGCTTTTTTGGGTCCCCATTGCCATTGGTCCTCGACCTATTAATGGAACATTTGCTCTCACAATTTGTATGCGAGCGAGTGCGGTCTATGTCAAGTACAAATTCTTATACTCGTGCATGTAGAAGATAATCCACTGCATTGCATGATCAGGATTGTTATTGTGTCATTGATTGATACTCTTTTAGTCTTTAGACATATGTCGATATAACATTGGCTATTCAATCAGTTAAACCAATCAAAACAATTAATATTTATATTATAATGAACAAATGATACTATAATATGCAAACGGATAGGTAAAAAATAATTATTATCATATTTTAATTTGATTGTTATATATGAGAATATGAATCAGTATGGTCTAAATTAGTGAATGCAATTTGATTGTTACATATGCGAGCGAGTGCGGTCTATGTCAAGTACAAATTCTCATACTTGTGCATGTAGAGGATAATCCACAGCTTTGCATTATCAGGATTGTTATTGTGTCATTGATTGATGCCCTTTTAGTCTCTAGAAATATGTCGATATATATAACATTGGCTAACTAATCAGTCAAAAGTCAAAACCAATTAATATATATTCATATTCATATTGTTTTTTATTCATATTATAATGCACAAATGATACTGTAGTATGCAACTAGATAAGTTAAACCAAAAAAAAGAAAGAAATCTGATAATCATATGTTGATTATCTGAGAATATGAATTGGTATAATATTGTTTTCAACGTAACTAAAGACTAATCACACCTCTTTCACTATATAGACTGTGATAAATAGTAAAATTAGAAAATTATTTTTACTCTATAATAAAACTTTAGTGGGGTTGGATTCATGTTACGCCTAAACTTTATAATGTTCACTCTGTTCATTTGAATGTTTTCATTGTCATTTAGTATTTTCATTAGAATAAGAAATTAGTATTTATAAATATATTAAGCAATCCTTAAAATCAACAGGTCGTCGTTAGACCAAAGAAAGTGATGAATAATTGTTGGCCGATAAATAATGTAGCCGATGTTGACAAAAAAAAAAAGCCAATTTGATCAAAATTACAACTTTTAACCGCTTAACAAACCATTTTTTAACTAATGCAATAGCAAAAGCGGGTCTTCTCTTGTCTGGTTTTGAGGTTTGAGACTCTGTTTCTGTTTTATGACAGTGGTTTACAAAAAAAAAAAAAAAAAGACCGCTTAACAAACCAAATTTTTAGGGCATTGATTTTTTTAAAAACTATTATAATAATTTGAAAAAAAAATATATATAAGTACTACAAAACCATATCAATTCTATTAAATTCTTATTGTATGAGTTGATAACTAAAAACTACTCAGTTTGATAATTATTGAAGATGAATGCAAGACGCTAGTACCCAAAAAAGTTGATAATTTTGGTGCCCTTACAATAGTTGGTAGGTCCAAAGGATTTTGCAAAATCATTAAGGATTTTTTGATAGTGAGAGACTTCTCAATGCTCATATATACTTTTTCTCTATCACTCTCAAAATTTTAGGGATATGCTCCTTGATTTTGGTCTTCCCATTGTCAAATGGCAGATTTGACCAAAATCCAAAACCTCCACTTCTTACATCTCATGTTGGAGACACATGGAAGTCAGGGCCAAAAAAGGCCATCATCATGAGAAAACGAAAATATAAACGATAGCTGACGAAAAATGTATAATCTCACTGACCAAGAACTCACTCATATGAAGCAGCGACTTAAGTCTGTTTTTTCTTTCTTTTTAATAAAAAAACAGCGAGTTAAATGAATTGGCATAGAAGTTTATACATACATAAGCAACACAAAAAAATGAAACAGATCATAATTAGCTACTTATTTGATAACTTTATATCGTATAAATCGCAGAAAGAGAAAATGAGCTAGGTCTTTGGATAGTGGTTAGTCAAACAATAAATATTTTGACATATGTATTCTTACGAGATTATGTGTGTAATAGTTTGATGGAGACTCCATTGCCCTGCAAGTTGGAGTCACTGCACGCGGGTTTAAATCATACGGTGGTGATAATACAAGTATTGTTTACGTATGTTATAGGTATCTATGGTTACTTTTGTTACCTAGGAAAAGTCAAATCAACTTACAATAACGCATGAATGTTTTCTTGGTAAAAGAGTCACATCCGGAGATTATAGTATCGTTTACGTATATTATAGGCATTGTTTAATTATATGCATAGTATATATATATTTATAATACACAACAAGTATATACTAAACTTTTTATAAAAATAGTTACAGCTTAAAACCTAAATGAACCCATAGTATTGAGAACCCATAGTATATGGATGGGGAAGGGTAGCCGTACTTAATACAGTAGTTGTATTTATTTTGTTGTTGTTGTGCAGGACACGAAGAACATGTGTTATGAATCTAGAAGAGTTCAGTGGATTCTATCTATCATGTACGAGTTAGTACAATTATTAAACGAAAAAAAAAAATTCAAGAAAAAGGCAAAAACAATTATAAAGACGAATTTTCATATTACTATATACATGTTTCCGGAAGATAACTTTTAAATATATGGGTTGCTTGAATATCAATATTGGTATATTAATTAACTAGAAGTATTCTCATGAGGAATCCGAAAAAGAAGAAGAAGAATTATGCCTCGTCCAACTTCATTAGAAAAGAACAAAATTTGTATTAATTTATATGATATGTACACGATACACACTTTTTAATGATAACCACTTATGGAAATGGCATATATTAAGATCTTCCGCAACTATGGCGTAAAGAACTTTGATGATAAGGAGAACAAAACCAAAATATACACCATACACACATTTCTCATTACCTCAATATAAATATAATATTATTACTAGAAAATATTCGAGCTAATCAATATACTGTGTCAAGTCACAGTTTTTGTTGAATTCCAAGAGTCAACTTCTTTTTTATTGTCTTTTTAGCCTACAAACTACTAGAATCAATTTTGATCTTCACTTTCTAATACCTTTTTTGCACTCAACCATTTTGTATTTCCATCTTTACATAATATTCTTTGAAAATATATAGATAAAAAAATATGAGTAAGAATTGGTCACCATGATTACATAATGTTATCACACTTTTAGTTCAACATTGATTTTAAAATATGGGTTTTAGATTAAAACAAAATCTTTGAGACCCACAAATTACACCACATTGTCAGTCCCTAATGTTTCTGATCTAGTATAAACTATTTAACACATTCCCAATTCACACATTTATCATTTATCTTTACACACGCAGTTTTGTTCCATACATTATAAAAATAATTCATTGATTTGAGAATATATGATTTTCTAGCTTATTCCTCTATTTTATATTTGAAAAGTAAACAAGTATTGGTGAAGCAAATGTAGTTATCGAATTTTTCATATCTTAAGATGGGAATCAACTATATATGACATTCACTTTCTATCAACTTTTTGTGGTGGATCGGTTTCGTTCTCATTTCTAAGATGTTTTTGAACATTTTTTTCTTTCTTTCTTTCTTTATTCTCATTCCAACAAAATATAGTGATTCCGTCGTAAACAATTGTCTCTTTGACAATAACAAGAAAGAGATTCAAATACTCAGAAGCTAGACCAAATTTAGCAATCGAGCTGTCAAGCATTTTCTTTTGTGTTGAAACAAATTGTTCCATTCAAATTACCAGCTAGAGAACTCGTGAACCAGTTTCCTTCACGGATCCAACCTTCCTATCTACTTTTTCATTTACTTTTATCTATTGTGATAGCCGGATTTGCATCCGAGTATGCTCTCCTTAGTGCTCTCCTACGTTAAATGGCATGTTAAGTTGTTAACCATTCACAAAACTCCATAACTATAAATCTTTTATATTATTATCATTATAGAAAACGTGGTGAAATCTTACAAAAAATAAGTTTTTTTAATGGATATATTTTCGGAGAAAAATGCGAAAAACTTCCATTTTAACTTACCTAAAATAATTTTCTTTTTGGCAACCTAACGTAGATACATAATATATACATATCTACTCATGTAATTATCTCTCTATATCGCAATTTTAAAATTGTATTAAGAAAACCTAGTAACCTACAATGCCATTTCTAGAAAATACATAAGAAAATAAGTCAGCACTTTTAGTTAAAAAAATGATATTTATCTATGGTACCTAACAAAAACATTTTTCTGTGTGCAAAACTAACAAAAACATATATAGAATGTATCAATTCATAATTTAAATACCGTCAGCGTATATAATTTTTGGGCATGTATAGGGTATACAAAATCAAACTGTTTTGGTAAGAAAAATGTATGTTTATTTACCATAAGTTAACTTGTAAAAATCAATAATGTTAGTATTCTTATATTTGTCCAATACTCATGCATGTTTTTTCAATGCAAACATATAAGAAACTATACGGACCACGTGAATATGGAGGCCTAACATAGAAGCTTTGAAGGGCAGTAATTAAGGACACTACCCTTCATCATTGTCCTCAAGGACCACTTTAACTGTTGGCTTTATCTTGTAAGATCCACCACCAAGATTCTGTCTTTGCCTTGTATAGTTTTCTGTCTCTCTTAATTTCTTTTCTCTTAACTAGGTTTTTACTTGAAGTCTTAATTGATGGAAAAAAATGAAAAAGCGAAATCCGCAATTATAATATTTTTACGTTATTTTACTGTGTGGTGAATGTTGTTTATTCCTACTTGAAGAACACAACTCCATGGTAAAGAAAAAGAAACATAACTTGATCACCAAAACTAGTCAATTACTTGTGTTCTTGTAGTTGCTTAGTATTTTAAAGGTTTTCAAAGACTTAATACGGTTCTTGATGCATAGTTAAACACATGGACAAATACACACACAAGAAAAAATTTCACATTGTTGGACGGTGAATGTGATCACGAGGAATGAATGGGTTTGACGCTACGTGCGTACCACAATCTCTAATGACACCTAACTACATAAATGTAATCCCGTGAGGCAAAACCTACTAAGCTAATCAAGACCCTAATTATCTTATGCTTAACCTTAAATAGTTAAGGGAAAACCAGAAAACATATATTACAGGTAATAAATAGATTCTAAATCCAACAAAAGAAGATCGGGTACATAGATGGATATATTTTGAATTATAATTAATATAGAGAAGATAGAAATATTCCTATAGAAAAAAGTTGTAAAAGGGGAGAGAAAGCAGTTTCTACGTTAACCCAAACTTGTAAAACACACGTGGCCCAAATGGCATTATGGGGACATTTCATGCATGAAACCGGACCGTGTATGTTCGACGACCCACTACTAAAGCTGTCATTTGGATCATACCTAGTCCTATACTTAACTAGAATTATCGTTTAATCTTGTGTGTGTTATAACCAGATCAGATGAATCATTTGTGAGGATCTGTACCAAGATAATCCCCCGGCTATCGCTATAGAAAACATGCATATATCAGAGTTTAGTGTCATCAAGGTTTTCTCAGTCACATAGTAAAAAAATTGCATATCACCTAATATGGGTTATCATTCAGAGTCCAAAACTGTGGGTTTCCCTATTGAAAAATAACGACAAAAAAATATTGAATCGTTTGGACCCAATGTCACTTTTTTGCATGTGCAAGGATTTAACTGATTCTTATACCGTTTGGTTTGGTCATATTGGATTAATATCCGTTTACGATAATGTGCTAGTCCTTCACAACAAATATGGCAAGCGAAGAACGAAAATCACTTGAATGTTTTTGTTTAAGTCATTTCTACAGTTTAAAAGTAAGCTCGGCACAGAAATATTGTTACTACGAAGAATACTTTATTTTCTTGTAATATTTATAGAGTTAAAACAAACACTAATTACAAACACAACAAGAATATACCCTCAAGCATAATTGTCCATAGTGAAAATTAATAAGGACAACACTGAAAATAGTATTAAAAAAAGGAGAGAATGTAATAATTAGCATCATGCCATATTTGAATTTGTTTAATACTCCATATGCTAAGTATATATTATTACAACTAAAACTATAATTTAACTGGAAGGAGTTAAAAACAATTTCTCCAAAGAAAAAGAATTTTTTTTTTTTATAGATATATGTTTCGAAACATCATCTATGATAATAAGTCTCTATAAAATCTTATTCAAGGAAAATTTCCCTGGTTGAGAAAACATTATCACTGAAACACACGATCTGATTGTTGCTATTTCAATCTGTTTTGCATTATTTCTAGTGTGAAACAGAATTTATTTGTCTGCTTTAACTATCTAATTAGTATTTTTGTTCTTTCCATGTCGTGTCAGATTCTCTGATTAGATGTTTTTTTTCGTGTGTCAATCCTCTGATTAGATGTTTACGCGTAATTAAAGATTTTAATCTTTTCTAATCAAGACAAACGAACGGTCTATATGTGCTTTCCAGGGAAAATTATCAAAACACTAAATCAAGACGCTAAAAAATTAATAATTACAAGAAAACTAACCTGGACAAATCAACTAATGTGGAAACCTGTATTGGTCCAAGTATCATCATTACTTATGAGTTATGAGCTAGCTGTTCAGGTAAGAATCTAAAAAATTGTTTTTTTCTAGTAGCTGAATCGCCCAATACATTTTGGTTTTACCAAAGAGTTTTGATTTTGAAAATGCATACCGTAAAGTATTTTTGTTAGATACTTAACGAATACTAGAATTTTTACTTATCTTCTTTATACCTTTTGGCCCTTTAAAATTCTATTCTGACCATCTTTTCTTTTTTTTCTCTTACCTGGTCCATTTCAGGATTCCTGTAAATAAAATCACCAAAATTTTCCAATAAATCACACATTTGTGTACATATATATATTGGACTCAAATGCTAAGTAAATGGATATCCCACCAGAGTCACAATCTCATCAAGTCCCATTACCACATTGCGTCCTTCTTCATCTTCTTCTTCCTCTCTCTCTAAATTTCATATCTTTACTTCCTGTCAAAAGCATTAACCTCTGAGCATTGCTTGCTGTAAAATCTCAATGTCTGCCACTTAAACACATCTTACCAAACGTGAAACTCAGCTTCTCTTATTTCACCCTCTTAATCATTTTCTTGAGCCTTCTTGTTGGGTTTTTGCAGGCATTAATGGTGCACTAAGCGCAAAACAGTTAAAACCTTCCCCTGCAAAAACAAAAATTCGTTTTATTTTTCCTTTCTCCTTTTCAGAAAACGATAAGAAATGGGTCAGAGCAAGTTGGTGTTGTAAAAGTCAGAAGCAACGTGAGTAAGAGAGAGAGAGAGACAAAAGCAAGAAAAAGTTAGTTAAACTTGTGAAACTATTGTCACAAGTTTCATCACTATATTTATAACTAACCTTTGTTGAACCACAACACAAGAACGATGCCAATCACTTGCACAAGAAACTTCTTCAAACGATTCTGTGTCGAAGAATACAATATGGACACATTCAAACAGAGCAGCTTCCTCTCTGCTGATCTCTTACCATCTCTTGGAGCTAGAATAAACCAATCAACTAAGCTCCGTAAACACATCATCTCTCCTTTCGATCCACGTTTCAGGTGTTGTACTTCTTCACAACTCTTTCTTGCACATTTTCGCGTTCTGGTCTTTTCTGTTCTGTTCTGTTTTTGCTTTGTTGTCTTCTTGAGTTGTGGCTCACTGATGAATTCAGGGCATGGGAGATGTGGCTGGTCATTCTTGTGATTTACTCTGCTTGGATTTGTCCTTTTGAGTTTGCCTTCATCACCTACAAAAAAGACGCGCTTTTCATCATTGACAACATTGTCAATGGCTTCTTTGCCATTGACATCATTCTCACCTTCTTTGTTGCTTATCTTGACAGCCACTCTTATCTTCTAGTTGACAAACCTAAGAAAATAGCTATAAGGTAAGGAAAAAGTACATAAAACACTGGTACGGTTTTTAAGCTTTCAAAGGAAGTAGGTTTTTCCTAATTACTTACTTTTCAGGTACCTTTCTACTTGGTTCGCCTTTGATGTCTGCTCAACAGCTCCATTCCAGTCACTGAGTCTTCTGTTCAATTACAATGGAAGCGAAATAGGATTCAGAGTTCTTAGTATGCTAAGGCTCTGGCGTCTCAGACGAGTCAGCTCGCTATTTGCGAGGTTCATTTCCAATACTAAATCATTTACTTTCAAGTTTAAAAGAGTCACCATTTTAAAGAAGCAGCACAAATATTAATATATTTCCCTCATTGTTACTTTCCTTCAGGCTTGAGAAAGATATCCGCTTCAACTATTTCTGGACACGTTGCACAAAACTCATTTCGGTAAGTCTCAAAAACAGAGGAAAATGTTCTAAAAACAGAGAAAGCTCTTTTTTTTTGCATCTATAAATCTTCTGGCTGATGAGGTATAACTTACAATTTTATATATCAGGTCACCCTTTTTGCAGTACATTGTGCTGGATGTTTCAACTACCTCATTGCAGATCAATATCCTGATCCAACAAAAACATGGATTGGAGCTGTGTACCCAAATTTCAAGGAAGCAAGCGTATGGAGTAGATATGTTACTGCTCTTTACTGGTCAATTACGACATTAACAACAACAGGATATGGAGACTTACATGCTGAGAACCCCCGGGAAATGTTGTTTTTTGTATTTTTCATGCTCTTCAACCTGGGTTTCACATCTTACCTGATTGGTAATATGACCAACCTTGTGGTTCACTGGACTAGCCGCACCAGAACCTTTGTAAGTTCAATCACTTCCTTTCGTCTTTGCAAGTTTAACCTGCAAAAAAAATTTAGTCATAATCATAGGTTAACATATGTCAAAGAAGGTCACTAAGCTAGATATATATGTGAAGAGTACAACAAAATGAAGTATTTATTTGTTCACTTAAACTAATAATAGATCTTTTTCTTTCAATTCAACAGAGGGATACTGTTAGAGCTGCTTCAGAGTTTGCATCAAGAAACCAACTACCACCAAACATACAAGACCAGATGCTATCACATATTTGCTTAAAGTTTAAAACAGAGGGACTGAAACAACAAGAAACCTTGAATGGTTTGCCGAAAGCAATTCGGTCCAGCATTGCAAATTATCTCTTCTTCCAAATCGTTCAGGATGTCTACCTCTTTCAAGGAGTTTCTCGCAACTTCCTATTTCAGTTGGTAAAACACTCATTTGTAAACTTCTTCTTGTCCTTTTCTTTTTCTATGTACCGTTATATTTTTTCATAAAACTAACCAAATAGATATACCTTTTCCTTTCTGACCAAGGTTTCAGATATAGATGCCGAGTATTTCCCACCAAGAGAAGATGTAATTCTACAGAACGAAGCTCCAACAGACCTTTACATCCTAGTCTCAGGAGCAGTGGTGAGTGAAATAAAATCTCAGTAACGGTACAGGAATGTGTAAGTAGCCTTTTAACATAATTACTCGTCGCTCCTGTGGTGATTGTGCAGGATTTTACTGTCTACGTTGGCGAAGAAGATCAGGTAAGCAAAGCAAATATAAATCACCAAAGTAACTTAACTGCTAGCTGAAGAATGAGAAATAACCAACCACATTCCTTACATTTATGCAGGTTCAAGGCAAGGCAGTTGTTGGAGATGCCTTTGGAGAGATTGGTGTGTTATGTTATACACCACAACCTTTCACAGTTAGGACAACCGAACTATCTCAGATACTAAGGATAAGTAAAACATCTCTAATGAGTGCTATGCGAGCTCATAACGAAGATGGACGTATCATAATGAACAACCTCTTCATGGTAAGAAAGCAAGATGACAATATATGGAACTAAGTTTATTGATGTCAGAGATATTTTTCACAACAATGTTAAATTAATAATGAAATTTGCAGAAAATTGGAGGGCAACAATCAATAGCAATTGATGATACAAATAACCAACCAGATGCACTTCTCCAAGAATGGCTTGGTGGTGGTCCAAAGACAGAAGAAGGAAATGCCAGTGATCAAAGACATGGACACAAATATTTACAACTGCATGATTCAGAAAATATCGCTTTTCAACATACGAGCCCAACTGAAACGACTAGAGATCGAGAACATAAGATAGAGATAGAAGAAGGGGAGAAACCAGATAAAGAAATTGATGGAAAAGTTTCCTCTAACGCAGATCTTACCTCATTTGAATTTCATTCACAGGAAACATATCCATATTGCAGATCCTACATCCCAATCAAACAACATGAAGCGGCAAAACCAAAAGATAAGAGAGTTACCATCCACTTGAAATCACAGGGAAAAGATTCATCGAAGCTGATAATCCTACCTGCTTCCATAGAAGAGCTGCTGAGACTTGCAGGTAAGATCATTTTTTTTACTCATTAATGCTCTTTAAAAACATAACTGAACATAAGAAGGAAGCAAAGTAAACAACAATAAGAAAACACAAGACGTCTCTCAATACAAAAGCTTCACTAAATAAACTTGGAAAACAATGCAGGTGACAAATTTGGATATGGAAGCTTCACAAAGGTCACCAATGCGGAAAACGCAGAAATAGACGATATATATGTGATTAGAGATGGTGATCATTTGTATTTTTATATCAATGAGTACCAAGTCATAGACTCCTAGCGTGACATTAGTAACCAATATTGCCATTTTCCATTGAGTATGTATGTATTTATATCTGCAGGCAATGTAATTTTTCACCAAGAAGACTCTACATTTTACTTAACTGGACAATGCTAATCACCATCAAAACAATTTTAATAAAATAAAACATTGATCGAAATTGACTTGACCAATCACAATCGATGAGGTTTCAACTCGACATATAATCAAACACTTGGCATTCAAGTTCACTACTAATGATTATATCTAAAAGGGAAACTAAAAATCAGAGATGAACCCAGATCTATACGGCTAATCTCATCTCCCAGATCGATAAACTTGACTCTAAAATCTTATTAAGTAACAAATCAAAACTAGATTCACAATACAGTATACTGTAAATGCAGAACTAAATGAAGAAACCATGACGAAACCTGGAAATTATCCGGCGAAACTTCTTTCAAATTGAGATCGAACACCTTTGTATCGCATCGATCTTCGATTCTCTGTAGCTGAAGAAGACTTGGAGAAGAAACAAAAACTGATTCTGAATCCTACATAGCGTTTCCGTAAAGCGGGAAGCGTATACAGTACATTTTTGCGTATATTATAAAGGTTCAATATTGGGCCTTATTGGGCTTATATGAGTTATTCCGGCTAGATTACTAATAATGAAACTGGGCTTAAGTTAATCATCAAAATAAACTTGCAAAGATACCATCCTATTTTAAAATATTCGTATTAAATATTTTATCACGCTGAGAGAATTTTCATTTCCATCAGTGAATAGAGGAGAGAGGAGGAGACATGGGTGCTGCTGAGAAGAAAGGCGCGGCTCGGGTTCAAAAGGATTCAGAGGATCTTAGTCGTCAACGGTTACAAGCCATTGTTCTAGCGGACAGCTTCACCACTCGATTCCGTCCATTAACCCTAGAACGCCCAAAGGTACTGTTACCGCTTGTGAACATCCCGATGATTGATTACACCTTAGCATGGCTAGAATCAGCTGGTATAGAGGAAATCTTCGTCTTCTGTTGTGCTCACTCGATGCAATTGATCGATTACCTTAAGAAATCTCAATGGTGCTCGTTGGTGAGAACGATTGTGTCGCACAAATCCACCAGTGTTGGAGATGCTCTGCGTTACATTTATGAACAACAGCATACAGAGACGTCTCAGATTCAGGGTGATTTTGTTCTTGTTAGTGGTGATACTGTGAGTAATATGCCCCTCGCTGAGTTGATTCAGCAACATAGGGATAGGAAGAAGAGAGATGAGAAAGCTATCATGACTATGGTTATTAAGAAGCAGTCTAGGCTAGGGATAGGATCGGATCAACTCTTTGTTGCGGTGGATCCTGTGACGAAACAGCTTCTTTATTACAACGAGGGAGATAACAACGGGGAGGTTTGCTTAGATAAGTCATTGTTGGATACCGGTGTTTTAGTTTGCAATGATATGCTGGATTGCTACATTGACATTTGTTCTTCTGAGGTGCTTAGTCTCTTTGAGGATAACTTTGATTATCAGCATCTTCGCCGTCATTTTGTTAATGGTTTGCTTGTTGATGATATTATGGGTTACAAGATTTTCACTCATGAGATTCAGTCGAGTTTTTATGCTGCAAGGGTTGAAAATTTACGGAGCTATGACATGGTTAGCAAGGATATTATTCAGAGGTGGACATACCCCTACGTACCTGATATAAACTTCAGCGGGAATCACCCTCTAAAGCTCGGTAGACGAGGGATATACCGGGTTTCTGATGCTGTTCAATCACGTTCTGCTGATATTGGAGCTTCCACTGTCATTGGATATGGCACAAAAATTGGTAATGGGAGTAAAATCTGTAAATCTGTTATTGGGAATGGATGTTCTATTGGATCCAATGTGGTGATACAAGGCTCATACATATGGAACAATGTTACTATTGAATATGGGTGTGAGATAAGGAATGCCATTGTCTGTGATGGGGTGAAAATCAGAGCAGGAGCTGTTCTGCAGCCTGGTGTTGTTTTGTCTTTCAATGTTGTAGTTGGGCAGGACTTCGTTGTACCTGCATACTCTAAGGTTTCCCTACTACAACAGCCAACTAAAGAAGACAGCGATGAAGAATCAGAATATGCTGACATTAGCAATGGGACGACACATCTTTTGTCAGGTGTAAATAATTTGCAAATGGAGTCCAAAACATCTGAACTTGATCCTGATGGAGCAGGTTACATATGGAAAGTATGTGACAGCGTTCATGATGCGGAGTGGAAGCATTCCATTGTACCAATCCCCATGGAGAAACTTGCTGATATGGCTCAGGCCATGGACGGTGATGGCATAGAGGATGGAAGTGTTGTCCCACCTTCTGGAGAGTTAAAATCTGATACTGATAGCATAAACACTGATGCAAATGATCCTAATGATGATGACTATGGCTACTTCGAGAGAGAGGTTAGGGAAACCTTCTTAAGGGCCATTGAAGAGGATAACAATGTGGACCATATAACTCCCTTGATTAACTCACTCCGATTTTCATACGACATGGCGTCTGCAGATTGTGCTGGAGCAATATTCTACTCTATGATGAGACTGGCTATGGATACTCAACATAACTCTACTAGTGAACTGTACAGAAACGCAACTAGTATAATCACCAAATGCAAGGGGGTTCTTGGGTTCTATGTAAAGCAAATTGATGAACAGATAGAGGTGATAATGAAATTCGAAGAGATGTGTCAGGAATCAGCAGCGTTGAGCCCTTTGTTTGTTCAGATTGTGCATTTTCTTTATGACAAAGACGTGGTGCAAGAAGATGCGATCTTGAGATGGGGGGAAGAGAAAGCAGGCGCAGACGAATCTGACAAAGTCTATCTCAATCAATGTGAGGCATTCATACAGTGGCTCAAGGAAGCATCTGAGGAAGAAGATAGCTGAATTGGTTCACATTTGTTTTCAATGGGTTGCAATGTTGTTATTTCATTAATACAGCCTATTTTTTAAGTTGATAAGTTACATTCTTAAGAGATACTTTATATTATTTACATTAACTAATAATTTTTTTAGAACAATTAAACGGATAGTTTAGCGAGATCTATCTTCATTTATATAATTAAAATTGCCTCGCTCCCATTTATGTCACATCTTTACTCTCTAAACCAAAAACCCTACTCTCTCTATCTCTCTCTCTCTTTCTCAGCAGCAATGGATGGTTTGATGAAACATAACCTTCTTAAAAGTTTCATCGTCTCTCTCATTCTCACTCTCGTCTTCTTCACCTCACCATCATCAACATCATCATCTCCGGATCAAGAAACAAGAGTATCTACACAAAAGACAGAAACCTATCTCAACAGCAACGAATCACCGCACCAACTCATCTACATCAAGAAAACGAAACCGTTCATCTTGAACCGGCGGGTGCAAAGAGACCACCACCACCATCGTCGTCGTTACAATCACCACTACTACTACTACTATCGTCATAGTCTTCGTCGCCGTGGTCTTCATCGAGGTGACTACTTCAAGATGATGGCTAAGAGGAGTAACGGCTTAAACCGTCAGGATGCATTCTCGGTTATGCTTCCCAAAGGATTCGTACCACCTTCCGGTTCATCTCCATGCCATAACCAGAACCCTAACTCTGCTACCACTCTCTTTTGCGATCTTTCTACACAACCTTAGAGATCCCTTCACAAACCGTACGTGAAACGATTTTGTTCCTTCTTCCCATGACCCTTTTGTAATTTTCATTTCTTTTATTACAATTCTTTATATATATATAGATATATCGGAATGATCGGTGCATTTTTGACTCTAGTAATGTATGAAAATAAATTGCATATATGTTCTTTTTTTTTATCATCAATTGCATATATGTTCATGTTTTATTTTGTTCATCTACTTTGTTTAATTTAAGGATTTTATCAAAAATACAATACTAGCATTCTAATAAAAATTACCCTACGTGCGGCAAAATTATTATATATTTTTTGTAAATACTAAACGTAATACAAAATTACAAATGAAGAAAAAGAGCATATTTGTCTCATATTTCAAGGTCAAAAACGCATAGTTCTGCGGGAAGAGCAAGGGAGTATATTTAGCCGATAGAATTGGAAATGAGCATGTGGATTTGCATCGTGAGCATAAGCTCTTGTTTCATGGCTTTTCTTTTTCTTCTTAGCTTCAGCTCCAATTCTTCGTACCGTTCACTCCAATGCATATATATTTGCATCCTAATTAACTTGGAGTTTATATATTTAAATGAATCCAACAATAGCTTTTTCATATTTCTTGAATTAGAGACAAAAAGAAAAAGAAAAAATTTGTTGATTCTAAACCGCTACTGTGTTATTGATTCTATGTCTAAGGGTCAAAGTTACTCAAATCTTTTCATGTAGGACAAGACGTCGATACAATTTTTTTTCTTGAGACATAAACTTTGTTTCTTTAATTATTTTAGAATATCCATATGTCAATTTGCTTGTTAACGACAACAATAATTTTTAAAACGATTGACCGACGTGATTTGGAATATTGAATTGAATATGAGATTATATATTTATCAAGCTTAAATAATTAAATTGTTTACATACATCCTAAACCAATCGCGTTATTATATTCTCGATACTCTTTTTCTCTAAAATAGTCTCGATATTACAACTTGAATCATCGCCAATATCAAAATTGTCCAATACTCCAAGCTCCTCTTTGCCTGAATGAAGAAAAAAAAAAACAGAGGATTAAATTATTATTATACATGCAGGTCCTTTCACTAACATTTATTCTCGTTTTGACCGCAATAATTCTAAGTTTTGACAAAAATAAACCATAGAATACTAAAGTGTACCTTAGTGGCAGAGGAAGAATAAGTGACAGATTCTGAATTCGCCGTTGTTGTTGACATTGTAGAGAATCCCAAGTTGTAAGCTAATGAACCATCTGGTCGGAATATACCGTAGTTTTTCTCCGAAGTAGGACCTGGTTTCATGTCCTCATTGAACAAGGCAAATATATAAACGTCGAGCCTTTCGCTCCGTCTCGCTGGAGTTCCTTCTCCGGCGAATTGCCTCATCATAAGGTTCCGGTTATAAGTGGCAGCATTCATAGGAGACGCTCCAACCTCTCCGGCGTCTCCTTTTGAAGGCCACCCTGTTTCCGCAACCCTAACTTCTATGTTACGGTACCCTAATTTCGCTGCCGCGAAAGCAACTGCGTCGACTTGAGCATACATCATGTTGTCGTAGTGTAGTCTCGTGTTGGGATCGGTCATGCCGACGTTACGGTTGAATAGAACGTAATCGATTGGGATCTCTTTAGGGTTATCTTTGTAGGCAAAGTAAGGGTAAGCATTGATCCAATATGGAGATTTCGTGGCTTCCAAGAAAGCTAGAAGTTGTTGCATCACTGAGGATACCTCCGGCTTGAAACTTCCGGCTGATGGAGGATATGATTCGCCGAGGACGGCAAGAGAGCTTGGAGACGAGACTTGAATGTATCTGTCTAAACCTAATTGGACCAAGGCTTTGTGTATGTTGATTATAGCCGGCATCATGTATCTATTGCCAAAAAGAATACATCAAAATTAGCATTACTGGACAAAGCTATTACACTTAACTTTTTAAAACAATATAGTAAGTTTTTTATTTCCTTTTAAAATGTGATTGTTATAAGTGACGAATCACTATTTTAGAAAAAAAGTGAAATCAATGTAAATAATGATTATAACTTACCCTATCAAACTAGAGTCTTCGTCAGTGAAAAGTTCGTTACCGACCATTATCCCGGTGATCCTAGTAGCCGGAACATAAGGTTTGATGTGAGAATTCACCCATTGGAGAGCTTGTTGAGGATCTTGTAACATAGGTAAAACTTGATTTTCGATGGTGACGATGATCTCAATGTTTGAATTGGCAAAAGAAGTAAGGATTTGAGGATTGGTGTCGTAGATTCTTGTTTTGGTGATCCTTAGAGATCTCAAGAGGTTTATTACTTTATCCGGTGAAGGCAAATTATTCCCAACTTGCCCGTAATTGATGCCAAGAGACGTTACTCTTTGTAGTATATTCCCTACATTTATTTCCAAACATAAGAATCCGAAATGTTTAGAAAACAATACAAAAGTAAGCATAACTTAAGAATTCAAGAAAACTATTGAAGTAGAAAAATCACCTGAGAAAACGAGAGAAAGCATGAGAAAAACATGAACGAGGTTGGAAAGTCTTGTGCTTGATGACATGTTGAGGAAACGAGAAAGAGAAAGAGAGAGAGAGAGAGATTTGTGAAGGTGTTGGGTTTTAAGAGAGGGTTTAATGGAATATATATAGACCAAACACAATAAGCCAAGTTGAAGAATACTTTTCTTCGCTTCTTTGTGTTTTTTTTTTCCCGTGTTTTGTTTTTTTTTTCCGTGTAAAAGGAAAAGGTTTAGTGTTGAAGTTTTATGATTTTAGTTTATTTTAAAAACGTTATTAAATTGTTTAGCTTTGCCTTCTCTATATTGCCTTTCTCATATTATGCCTTTTTTATCCATAGACGGCTTTCTATAAAAACCACAACGAAGGATTTCTTATTAAAGAAATATATTACATCTATGTAAATTTTTGTTTATATTCAGAATCGTATGACAAGAAAATTTGCATGCACATGTATGGAAATACATTCGTGTGTGTTTTGGTTTCATTACATGTATACTGTGATATACAAGTTGTGCTAGCTAGCCATTGGGTTGGTAAAAAAAGTGAGCAATGTTATTAAATTAGGAAAATAAGAAAAGTAGAATAGAATGGGAGTCACATAGTTAAGTGGACGTATAGAAAAATATTGTAGAGTTTTCATAAAGTACCGGATAATATTTGAAAAATCAATTCAATTAAGTAGGTGAGTTGTCAATTAAATACAAACTTTTGCTACTCATACAAAAAAAGCTTATTCTAATCTACGATAGTCCTGGAGATAAAGATATATATAAAAAAAATTATGTCAAGACAATAACTATTTATATTCAAAGTTATATTTCTTATTATTTTGACTATTAATTGTCATTGAATTTGTCTAATCACATGTTAATATGGTGATTATTTTAATCCTATTAAGTAATCACTTAAAACGCTTCGAAGAATAAGGGATTAGATTTTCGCATGAATCTTGACCTTAAGTGTATCCTAGCCTAATTATACCATCAAACTAAATTTCTTTAGACAAAAGCTAATTGGAGATCCGATTTTGACTTGACGTGTCAAAGGATTCAATAGTACACTAAAGGAAGCCTCCTCCGTTTCAACTTTAAAAGTTTATAAATTCTTATCATATCTCCTGGAAAAACAAAAATAAATATTATACTTATATAAGTATATTTCTTTTTGAAATCGAGAGACCACGCACGAACGAACATTCATAATGTAAAGTCCCCAAAAATCACGTGAATAATGAGATTTCCAAAATATTATTTCTGCAAGACACAAACCATAGCTCGTCACAAATCGTCAAGAGACATAAAAAGACCTACAGTAACTGGAAAAAAAAGATATATAATTTGTTTAATTATTTCTCCAACCAAAACATAATTATATATATGATCTATACTATTAATTGGGAAAGACAACTTGAAGCCAAACACCCCCAATTTTAAAAATAAATTTCATTAAAATAAAACCAGTTGCCAAACAGAATTAATGACAGCAAAAAAAAACAAAAAAAAATAAAAACAATTTATATTTATGGAAATCATAATAATTTTTTACCATAAAAAATGGATAATTAAATTCAAAACTAAATATATGTAAACAAATATATTTCGAATATACATAAACATATTTATTATTAATTTAATATTTTAATATAATTTCGAAATTAATAATTTATATAGAATGAAATCTAATAAAACAAAATCATCATATATCTAAAATAACAAAGATAACATTTTTTTTGAAAAATGAAAAAGATAAAAAAAATATGTTAGCATATGAAATAATCAACTAATCAAATTCTACATAGTATATATACATAACTGATCATATCATAAAATTTTAAAAAATTATATAATTTTAAAATATAAATAAAATT